GTGGCATCGCTCCCTTTGTCGCCGTCCTTGCTCACTGTGTGCCACCCAAAACCACCGACCTGTGGTTTCAGGTAGTTGGACGTTAATAGTGATGTGCTCCCCTGGAAGGCCAACCAGAGGTCTGTGTTATCTCAATCATCTCCTAAATCCCGGCTTTGTGTGTGATGTAGCCATTCAAGAGCTAATTGCCTTTGATTAAGTCAATCACTTGCAGAGTGAGTGGGTTAATTGGGTATTGTGGAAGCAATCAATCTAATCAGCTGCTTGCATCCATAGCTGAGGCACTACAATGCAGCAGGGCAGTAATTGTTTTATGAGCTCCTGGATGGCAGCAGAGGCAGACTGGATGGCAACGAGAATCCTTTCTCTGCAAAATGGCCTTTTAGGAAAGGTAATTTGCATGTTAAGTGCTCATTAGGAGAGCGCTGATTGATTAAGAGCTGGGAAAATCTCCCCTCTAAAAATGTGTGTGCCGGGTCGGGGTCAGCACGTGGTGGATCCTGGGGTGTGTAATGGGGTGGGGGTGTCTTCTCTTGGGGTGGGTTGAAGAGGTGTCTGGAAGGTGGGATTGCTGCCAGTGCTGCAAAATGGAGAAGTCCCACTTGGCAGGACGTGAGATGTGCCAGGCACCCATCCCAGCATAGGGCACACCAAGAGCTTACCTCCCCAGTGCCCTCCCTGGGGCAGGGAAGCTATCTGCATTCCAGGGTGACTCAACAGGTGCCCATTTGCCCCTTGCTGAGGCTTTTGCTTCCAGAGCAGGAAGAAGTGCTATTGCTTAAAGCAATCAAACCCAACAATTTACGCTGTTGCAGCCAAACAAGAGGTTTACAGTTCTTTCTGTAATGTTATTTGAAATCTGTTCCGCTGGGTCACGTCACCTTCTCTCTGTCCAGCTCTTTGATTATGGACAAAACGGTTTATTTCTGAAGAAATATCCTTCAGACTCATTGTGCTAAAAGGAAACTGTGACATCAGTGTCAGGGATTCTCCACTCAGCTGCTCCAAATAATTACGCTGTTCCTTAACCTCGCAGAACGAGCTGGCACATCATCTCCAGTGAGTTCCTATCTCCTGTTCTGGCTTAATTAACATCTTATGCTGTTAATATAGCAGATGGCTCTGCTTCTGACGTGCAGAAGTGCTGATGTTCACCCTGTAATTTTAGCAGCAAAGCGATGTGATGTAGTTGTGTTTAAATCTTCATCTACAAAGCTCAGAATTGGGGTCAGAGCACTTTGTCTGACTGCTGGGAGGAAAGAACCTATTTTTGGAGGTGGAGGTGCCCTGCTTGAGCTCGAGGAAAATGCAGTTGCTCTTGGATTACAAGTATGAGTAAATGTTTTCCTCTCTTTCAGCCTTCTATGCTCTGTCTGGCAGTGAGAGCAGGAGAGAAAGCACAGTAATGCATTTGTTCCTTGCTGAAGTGCTGCCTTACTACTATGTCTGGTTTTGGGTACATGAATGTTTCTCCTCAAAGCCTTGCACCAGGCCTGCTTGTACCACTGTGACAATCATGGAAACCAGCAGTTCTGCTGCCTCCATTCCCAGCTGAAGTAGCAGATTAAGCACCAAAGAAACCAGAGAGCAGATAGGGTTTAATTCCAAGTTCAGAATGCTTGATGTGGGATGAGAGAAAGCAAATTCCAAGCGTGTGTTCTTTTCTCCAGCCGGTGGGTCTGCTCACCCTCTCTCAGTGGTTTCTTGTTCTCTGAGAACAAAGGCTGAAACTGAAAGTAATTTTGGGTACTTCCTATAACCTGTGTGCACAGAGGGACCAAAAACCCCATCAGTAACAACTGGCCATAACTGACATGGGGAAGTGGTGATATTCCTCTTCTTAAAAATAGGGAACTTGAACAAATTGCTGGAGGAAGTCGGGTGGGAAGATGCTATCTATGCGAGACTGTCTTGGTAGCAAATCCTCTCGCTTGCTTCCTCTGAGGCACTGTGATAAAGCTGGGTTAGGCTGAAGCACCTGAAGGGTCTGGCTGTGTTCAGGGGCTGCAGACGTGCACTCAGCACAGCTGGCACAAGGCCGTCTTGTTTCTGGGCAACCAGCGTGGTAATTCCATTTTCCTTCCCCCAGGCAGCTTAAGCTGTGGTGATGAAAGGAATGTAGAAGTGGTGGTTCCTCTTTTTACCTTGGAAATGGCACAGTGGGTCAAAAATGCCCATTGCAGAGGTGTGAATTCTGGTTATGTGCATGCCATTTGTTGGCCAACTTGGTCACAATTGCTTGGTGGCCTTTTTACAAACCCGGTTTGTGCCAGAACTGCCCAATGCCAAGCGGCCCAAGCACAGGGATGTTATTCCTAAAGAGTGCTGGTTTTCACCAAGTGTCCCTTTGGCAGTCATGGCTGTGTGCTGGCGGCCGAGCGCAATGGCAGCGGGCGGCTGCAGCCTTTGTTCTGCACCTGCAGGTGATGGAGTGCTGTGTGCCCTGAAGCTGTGCTGCTGGCTGTTTTGCTTCACCATCATGAGTGCAGCCCTGCTGAAGGTCTGGGTTTGGCCGGGTAGCTCTGAACTGGAAGCTGTTGCTAAGGCAGGGCGGCCCATGGAGGTGAGGAGGGGCTCCCATACGTTCAGTAGGAGCTCGGCATCTGCAGCATCCTGCAGTTCTGCTCCTCGACACCTTCTCTGGCTGTTCGCACTGTCTTTTAGATCAGGATGTTGAGGACACGTCTTGCTGACATACTGATAGCCTGGGGAAGCTGGATGAGTTCACGTTCGGTTCACATCCAGTTCTCTGTGTTTTGCATTTATCGGCAGTGACAGGGGAGCAGGCAGCAAGTTTGGGCAGAGTGCAGGAGCGGCTCCCGAGGACACAGCCCTGGAGGAAGGAAGGAAGAAAGAAAAGAAGCAAGCAAAGGATTTAAGGAAATCTGTGCCAAAGTACAGCAAAATTAGCAGCTGGCTTTGTGAGAGTAGCCAGGAGCTCTGTTGCAGAGGCAATGGTTGTGGAAAGTGCCAGCATTCTTATTTTCTTTTTTAATTTCTCCGAAGGAGAACACAGTGAATTCAGATGCTGTGTTTTGGCTCAAAGGGCTGGAAAAAAAAGGAGATCATAATGATGAAAGTGTCCGTACATAAGAGGGTATGGGAGCCTTGGTTTCCAGCCTGGCTTTGATGCTGGCTCACAGTATTGCCCTGGGCAGCTCTCCAACCCCCTCTGTGCTTTCACCTTCTCATATGAAACTACTGGGGTGTCAATCTGACAGGGGTTTGCTTTCAGTGGACTTCATACATTTGCAGTTCCTTGGGGAAAAGCAATGAGTTTTATTCATTACCCCTTTAGTGCTAAGAGAAAACACAATAAATTTGTTGCAGAGAAGAGAAACAGGGCATCCTTACACCCTGTACCTCTTGGATACTTGTAGCAAAGTGCTCTGGATGAATGAATGAAGGCAATCCGCAGCCATGGCTTGTGAAAGGAGCTGCGGTCAGGCTGTGAAGCTGAGAGCTGAGCTAACTCAGGTGGGTGTATTTCAACTAAGAGCTTCCTACCTTCAGGGCCCCGGCAGCATTTCTCCCTCACATTAAGCAAATCTTGCATTTTATGACCATATCAGCTGGGCAGGACCTGCAGCCTGTCTGCCTGCTGTCAGCCCCACGTTGTGCAGCCCTTATCCCTGTTCAGCTCTGTCGTCTTCAGCCACTATTGAGCACGCAGTGGTTCTGCTGATACAACCTGTCAGATGCTGTTGTTCCCCACACTGGGGGAATTAATTTGTGCCACAGTGGTGATAAGAGGGGGCCAGCCAGCGCTGCTGCCCTGGACTGGTTTTGCTGCTTCCCCTTGTCAGACTGAGGATGATTCTGCTCACTCTGTGTTTCTTTCTCTCACGCTATGAGTGCCTTCCCAGAGGTTGGTTGTATTTTGATATTGGGAAATGTCCACAGTTGGGGTAGGGTGGAATGGATTGGCTGAGCTCACCAGTGTTACTTGTGTCTCTGGGGGGGTCTCTCCCAAGCCTGGAGGATGGTTGAGTGGGCAGGGTAAGGGCTCTGCCCATGTAATGCCTCAGACATCTCTGGTTTTGGTGCTCGGGTTGCTGGTCTGGTGTCTGTGCAGTGCTGCCAGTGGGTGTCAATGCCCTGAGCACCCAGAGTGTGTTCTGCACTTCAGGGCTCTGAGAGGAAGGGCTGGGCAGGCAGCAGTGTGGCTTCGTGCTTTAAAAGAAAGCCCTGCTGCAATGCGTGACCCATATTAAATAAAGAACCAAGGGAAGGACTGCTGACAGCTTTAAATATTTCCACTGCTTACATCTGCACCAAGCAATGAGCCCCTTGGCTGTGCTGCGTGCCAGCAGCCTGCGGTGCAGCCCGTGGTGCTGAGGCTCTGCAGTTGGCATCCAGCATTCGCAGCAGCGCGGGGTTTGCATGGCGCTTATTGCTGCCAGATGTTGACAGCTTTCCCTCACGTTCAGCTTTCTCTGAGGATCTGGAGAAAGCATTCGGCATAGGATTTCATACGTCCAGGCAAAAGAAAGCGGCATTTTGACTGTCAGCAGAGGCACGATAGCCAGACAGGTGCTTTGTCTTCAGTTAGCATCGTTAGCTGTTTGTGCCACTCTTACCTTGGTCTGCCCTGGTTGCTGAATGCACTTGTGTGTGTGGTTTATGTGTGTTTGTGCGTTTCTTATGGCATGGGAACATATGGTTTGTACTGTAGAGTGAGCACTGAGGGCTGGCTGGGGGATTTCTGTGCATCTTTTAATCTGTTTTTAAAAATGAAGCCTACATTCCTGTCATATGCACCACTATCTGAAGAGCTGGTTGGATGAGGGCTTTCTGCACATCCTCACATCCACTGGTAAGTCATTATAAATGTACAGCTTGAAAATCCTACCTCTGAGAGCCTGAGCCAAAAATCCGAAAGGATTGAAATCACAGGAAGGAGAACACCTTTTCCATGGGACCTGTGTGTAATTCTGCCTCAGACAAACGGGAGGTGGCTCTCCTTCTCCTCACCCTGCCCCTTTGCTCAATGTGCGCAGGGTACCGAGAAGGGTTTCTGTGGAAGAGAGGACGGGACAACGGGCAGTTCCTGAGCCGAAAGTTTGTGCTGTCAGAGAGGGAAGGAGCACTGAAATACTTCAACAAGAACGACGTGAGTTCCTGGGGCTGCTGTGGGGGTGGGAAGTCGTGCTATGAGAGCGTTGGTGCACAAGGAGTTTCCGCAGGCGTTGTGTCCTTGATGTCCCAGCTGGCCGCCGTGCTGTGCAGGACCTGCTCTCAGTCCCCAGTCGCTGCAGTGGGGAGATGCTGACCAGCCGTCCCCACTGCCCGCTGTGTTGCTCTTGGCTCTCCTTTCTCCACCATGAATTTTTCTCAGCTCTGGCCCTGTGTGATCCAACTGATGTGGGTCTTGTACCCATGGGTACCTTGTGGGGGAGGGAGCGCTGCCTGTGACAGCACCTCACAGCCCTCAGGATTTCCTCTTTCGGTGCCACGCAGTGAAGCATTCATCCTTTTCCCCAGAATGGATTTCATGTACTGGAAGGGAAATACAGAGCTGTTACCATGAACGTTGCCCTTGTGATTAATGGATAGACATTCTGCTTTTCTGCACACACAATGAGGGGAGCTGAGGTGTTTTCTATGATCTTTCGCTCTTCCCTGGTACCTCCAATGATCACCTTCAGAAAGGACGATGCCTCCATCACAGCCTCAGGAGCTTTCAGCTCCAGTAGAACACTGAGAGCAGTTCAGGCCTCTGCCACAGCTGCAGCAGTGCCTGTGCTGGATTCAGTTGCTATGAGCTCCGGTAGCTTGAGGCTACCTGCTCTGCTGCCACATTACCTGTGAGTCATGAAGTTGCTCATAGCACAGCATCCTTGCTGTCTTCGAGACCTGACCTGCCTATCTTGCTTCTGGGCTGAAATCTGAAATCTCCTTGAACTTTGCTGAGTTTTGCAGAGCAGCAGAGCGTTTTGCCATGTTGGCAGAAAGCATTCATTTTGCCCAAGCAAAGCCCCAGCTGTGTTATCACCAGGCAGATCTGTGGGCTGAGCATCATGTTTCAGGTAATGCCCTCCATCGTGAGGAATTTTTTTCTGACACAGTAAACTGCTTTCTGGTTTAAAAGCCAATTCTCAGGTGTTTGCTCACTCAGCTGTGTTTTCCAGGCAAAAGAACCCAAAGCAATTATGAAGATTGAACACTTAAATGCAACTTTCCAGCCTGCAAAAATCGGGAACCCACACGGACTGCAGATCACGTACTTGAAGGACAATAGCACAAGGAACATCTTTGTGTATCACGAAGATGGCAAGGTGAGAGCAGGGGGGTGGCAGGGCCTTGCGTGTGCTCCTGGAGGATGGTGCTGCACGCAGTCAGACTGGGGCACACCTGTCAGTAACCCAGCTGTGACTTGGGGGGGGGGTGTGGGACTTTGCAGTGTGCAAATCAGTGGGATGCTCAGCAGTGTGGGGCAGTTGTTTGCCCAGGGAGGACGTGGCACACGACGGCCTTTGCAGTGAGAGGAGAGTCCCAGTGCTCACAGATTGTGTTCAAGGGGTCAGCCCAAGTGGAACCACTGTGCTTGCAGGGCTGTGATGCAGAATGTGTCGTGGTTCCATGGCCACGAGTTAATCAGAAGCCAAAGGAAGGAGCTCTTTCCTGTAGAAGCTGCATCTCACCAGCTTCTGTCTGGTGAGGAGGTGCCTCTGTCTGTGGTTTGTGACAGTCTGCTCGGCAAAGGCAGAATTTTGCTGTGTTAAAAAAGCTGATTTTTCTACCAGATGCCCACTTGAATGGAGTGGTTTGTGACATGCAGGCAGTTGCTGTGAGCAGGGCTGATCTCACGGGTTGAGCCTGGTGGCTGCTGCTGCCTCCTCAGTGCTTGGGCAGGCGGCTCTGATGCTGTCTGATAACACCTCAGCTGAATTTCTCTCAAATTCCTTGAAATTGCTCTGCTCCTTTGGCTGAACTAGGATGTAAGCTCATCACAGGCGATAACCTTCACTGCAGTAAGGCAGCTAAGGAAATTAAAGCCAAAAGGACAACCTGGATCACTGCTGCTCCGCAGAGCATTGCAGGATGGGGCAGCTGTGTGCAGCTGAAAGCTTCTTAGCATGTGCTCATCACCAGATGGACCGAGGCCATCGGGGTGAGCTGGGGCTGAAGATGCACCCCATCCCTGATTCTCTGTGCATTGAAGTGCCAGTCTCCATCACAGCTGTGGGAGGCAGCGATGCGTAATGAGGGTTGTAGTTTGAAAATACGTATGGAAGGAACCCAAGATGCAGATCTCAAGTAACCAGGTCATACTACTGGAAGCATTCCTCTGTGCTTCCTTTTGCGTGGTGGGCACAAATGCTCTCAGACGTGACTTCATTGTGACCTAAGGGGCTTCTGGATCATCAGCTGTGCTGAGCTCCTCTGAAATGAAGAGCAACGCGCTTGATGTGAGCGGGAGGAGCTGAGGAGCTTTCTCTTTCACTATGGGAGTCTGAGCACTCACACAGCTGGTTGGAGCAATGCAGCTGCGTGCATCTCATTCTGTGTCCACTTAACAAAAAAAAACTGTCCCAGGTTTCTACCTGGCATCGTGCTCCAGCGCCAACAAGGGCTGGTCAAGCTCTGCCTGTTTTGCTGGGAGCAAAGTTAGTTTGTTAAAGGGCACCCAGCCTTTGGATGGCCTTAGGTGGGGAGCAGAGGAGAGTGATGTTGGAGTTCCATTTCTCAGGCTCGGTGCAGTGGGACCTGCTCTGCTGGCTGAAGGCAGCAATGGTGGCAGGGCTCCAGGCACACGTGGGGTGCTGAAGCCGATTTCTCACCGCACTGATCTCCTGCCAAGGACTGAAGCTCCCTCTGCAGGACTTCTCCTGTAGCCATCACAACAGCAGCTGCTGCTGCCATCCCCAAGCTTACCATCATCCTTAGCATCCTCGGAGGTGGGCTGCATCTCCAGGAAAGGCCTCTACACAGTGCAAACCAATATCTTTGAATCTTTTCTGGATAAATGAGCTGAGGACTCTTCTTTGACATTCCTGAGCTACAGCAGAGCTTTCAGAACAGGCAAGGAGGGCCATTGTCAGCAGCAGGAGGAGCTGACTTCAGGACTGATGAGCTGGAAGAGCAGTGAGAAGATGCAGTTTCATGCAGGGTTGTTTGCCTGGTGCTGCTGTGGCTGTGCAAGTGGCTCAGGTCTGGAGCAGAGGCTGTGCATCTTGGCTTTGCAGACACAGGTGTGTGCTTATGTAAAGAGCTGTGATGTGGCAGTGGATCGTTCTGGCTCTGGGAAAAAAGCTGATAGTCTGAAGTCGATGAGAGATTCGTCCTCTGCTTTCTGCATGGCAGGACCTACTGGTCGGGGAGGTGACCCCCATCATGACGTCAGGGTTGCCTTCCGGTTGGTGATTCTGTGAATCATCACCACTTCAATGTTACAGCTTCTTTTTCATTGCCTCTAGTCTGTAATGGTCATCATTAACTTCAGGAGCCAGTTCCTCTTGCAGATCCTCTTTGTGCTGCTATCCGGGGTCTGCTTAGCTGCTTAGGATGGAAAAGCAAGTGATAAGTAAAAGCTCAGACAAGTAGGTCAGAGTTTTCCAGAGCACTGTCTGTGCGTCCTGGTACGTTTTCTCCCCTCTCAGCATGAAGTAGGTTCACCAAGCAGCCAGAACACCAGAGCTGTTAAGGATGGCTGTTGATACCATAGACCATTTTTGAGCGCCTCAAGTTGGACTTCTTATAACTGAGATCTCCAAAGTAACATGTAAAGTAACCTGATTTTTGTGTGGTTTTTCTGTTCAGCTCAGTTTGCTTTTGAAAATGTGTATGTAAATGTTAGTGAGGGCTGAGGTTGCTCTCACAGTGCTTCCTGCGCTGCAGCAGCCTCACCTCAGAGGGTTGAAGTGGGATGGGCTCTGTGCTGAGCTCCAGTCTGGCTCAGTAACACCTCACATGCACCCACAACAGCCCTCTGTCTCCTGCAGCTCAGTGTGCATGTGTGCAGCTGTCACACCTCTTGCAAATGCATCTCATTTTCCAGTGAGACCTCCAGAAAGGTGCCAGTGCAGCACAGGCTCTGTGATCTCACCAGAAGCGAATCAGCAGATGAGTTCAAAACTGACCAAGTTAACCAAACTGTTTTGGAGAGGAAAATAAAAGGGAAGAGATGTATTCCAAGGAAGGAAAGAAGAGCCACAGCATCTGGGCATTGAGCTGGGACTTGGGTATGGGACTCATGGGTGGGCTGCAGTGCAGGGATGAAGAGATGCCCGGCCACTCTTGCAGCAGAATCTGGAAGGAAGTCATGTGGCCTCAGAATGTGGCAGATGTCCTTTGTGTTCCCTGCATTCAGAGGGGTGAGGCTGGAAATGGAGAGCAGGCGGCGGAGCTGTTAGCCTGGATTTGCATCTGTGTGCAGGCGGGGTGCAGTGAGGGGGAAATAAATTCATGTTTGCAGGACTGGGCTCACCTCTGGTCTTGCCAGCTCCACGCTGGGTCTCACCAGCTCTTTGCCAAGCACCCTGCCCATGGTGCTGTGCATCCTGCTGCTCCCCAGCACTTCAGGCTCTGCTAATCCTGAGCGATGGCTCCGGATCACCTGAAGTCTCTTTTCAAAGCCACCAGCTGGATTTCCCTCTGCTGACCTTCCTCCTCCCACACCCGACTTAAACATGAGCAGATGGGGAGCGGGGATGAGAAGTGCTGCTACCAGATCTTCTTCATGTTAAAGGGCTGAGTGCCCTTTACCAAACTAACTTTGATTTTGTCTTCTTGTTTTTTGAGGGTTAGCACTAAACTGCACTCATGTCACTGGGACAAAGGGATGGGAGAGCTGCAGAGCAGCAGGATGGTGTTGCTTTGTTACGTGCAGGCTGTGGTGCTCACTGTTTTTTGTTCCTCTTATTAGGAAATAGTGGATTGGTTCAATGCCATTCGTGCTGCACGTTTTCATTACTTACAAGTGGCATTTCCTGGAGCCAGCGATGCTGATGTAAGTTTTCCAGATTGTTTTTTTCCTTCTTTTTAGGGTTATCAAGCAGGAAAGCTCTGGGGAGTGCTCAGTCCTTCAGTGTGTGCTGTGTGATAACTGCCAAAATTACTGCGATGGGAGGGCCTTCAGACCACTTTCAGCTTAAGAGATAAATGGGCCAAATGTTAAAAAATCAAAGGGAACGTCTCATCAGCCCGCTGTGGGACGTGTGGTTGGCTCACCTGCATGGAATTGCCAGCCACTTGGTTGGGATCTGGTGGCAAAGGGGTCAGTGGGCTCGGGCAGGTTCTCCCCAGCCACCTCCAGCTGATGCTGTGCTCTCATTTCTCTCCTGCTTGGTTGCTCCAGCTGGTGCCAAAGCTCTCTAGAAACTACCTGAAGGAGGGGTACATGGAGAAAACAGGGCCCAAGGTAGGCTATAAATGTTTCTGCAACACCCCCAAAACCGGGGCTTGCTCAGTATGGGATGGTGAAGGGTCTGCTGGTGAGACAATCTTGTCCTCTCTGCAGAGGTGAAGCCTTAACACTGTAAGCACATTAATACATGTTTTCCACCTGAAGTTTGGGTTTGGAACCGAAAGATAAAGAAAATAATCCAGAACCATCTCACGGATGAACCCAGCCCATTTCCATGCTCTCTGGCCATTGCTACAGGCCCACCTGCCCCCAGCTGCCTTTCCCAGCCACCCAGCAGGGTCCTCCAAGCCACCTGAAACTGCCTCTGTGCCCTGATGCTGCCAGGTTGCATTTGATGAGCAAAGCACTTCATACTTTGGGGTGTAATTCAGCACTTTCTGACTCTGCAGCAAACAGAAGGTTTCAAGAAGCGATGGTTCACCATGGATGACCGGAGGCTCATGTATTTCAAGGATCCCCTGGTAAGAGAAAGGGGCCTAAGCTGAGTACTGGGCATGGTCTGCAGTAAAGCCCAGGCTGATGCTCAGCAGGACACATTGGAATTCTGTGTTGCTGGGTCTGGGCTGCTGCTGGTGGAGGGCTTTGCGGGGCTGTGGTGCTTTTGGTCTCAGCTTCTGCACTCTGTGCTCCTGGCTACTGTCTTGTAGGATGCCTTTGCAAGAGGGGAAGTGTTCATTGGGAGCAAGGAAAACAGCTACAAAGTCCTGGAAGGGCTCCCACCATCCACACAAGGAAATCACTGGCAGCACGGCATCACCATCGTCACCCCGGACAGGAAATTCCTCTTTGCCTGCGAGACGGAGGATGACCAGCTGGAGTGGATTACCACCTTCCAGAAAGTTATCAGCAGGCCAATGCTGCCTCAGGAATACGCAGGTGTGTGCTCACGAGGTCTGGAGAACAGCCTTGGACAGTTGATTTCCCATTGGTTGGAGTAGGGGATGGATGCCTGTCCTTGGAGGCGTTCAAGGCCAGGTTGGATGGGGCCCTGGGCAGCCTGGTCTGGTATTAAATGTGGAGGTTGGTGGCCCTGCCTGTGGCAGAGCGTTGGAGATTCATGATGCTTGAGGTCCCTTCCAACCTGGGCCATTCTGTGATTCTGTGGGTGATGATGGGGTGACTGCAGCTGCTCTGTTGTGCCTGATGTGAGTGGGGCAGCCCTCCTGTGCAAGGCTTGTGCTTGGTGGAGGGGCAGCGGTGCTGTAGGAACATAGAATGGCTGGGTTGGAAGGGACCTCAGAGCCTGCTCAGTCACCCAGCACTGAGGACAATCACACCTGTGGGGCCGGGCTGTCCTTGCTGGGGTTGTGCCCATGACTTTAACTTTTATTTTCTTTTCTTTTGTTTCAGTGGAAGCCCATTTCAAGCATAAACCTTAGATGGGACTGGCTGGGCAGACCTGAGGAATGAGCTTCTGTTTACAACACAACATGGTTTTATTTGAAATGTTAAAAAAGTAATTATTAATAATAATAACAGTAATAATAATAATAATACTTCCCTTTCCCCTCATCATTCACTTGATCATGTCGGAGGCCAAGAAGGGCAGCAGCGAAACATGGGAGAAGGCACTGATCCAACCCAGAACTCATTTCTGCTCCTCCTGCACCTCGTGTCCATGTGTCTCCTGCAGGTAGGGCGCTGTGCTGCTGGAAGGGTCCCCTGCCCTGTGGTGAAGAGTCTCGGGGACGAATCTCTTGGGGACGGGACACTTTTTGGACAATGTGGTCTGTGGTGCAAAACCCACATGGGTTCCTTGTGGAAAGTGATGGCTGTTCTGGAGGACGTGAGGCTGCGGCCCATCCCAGCGCCCTGCCCATGATGCTGCAGCAGCTGGCTGCTGGGGCTGGTGCTTTTCCTCCTCCGTGGCTCACTGCTGCCTCAGCTCACAGGGGATATGGATTGGGCCCGAAGCCTCCTGTGCTCTGGTGACAGAGATTCCCCCCACCTCATCCCACTGGGCTCAGCCCATGGCCCTGCTGCCCTGGGGGCGCTGCCTGCTGCCCCTGCTGCCTACCAGCTGTTTCCAGGGGAGAGCGAGCCCCTGAGATGCCGACACCTAAAAACAAGAGGAGAGAAACCACTGTCTTTAAATGTAGGAATGTGCAGCTGAACCGGGGGGGGAGTTTGGAGATGACCGAAATGTGCACTTGCCTCTGTCCTCTGCACTCCCTAAAACTTAAGGGAGAAGCGCTGAGAGCAGCTGAAAACAGCTCCTGGTAGGAAGCCCATCACTGTGTTTCTACCCCCGGACAGTGGTTCCTGTGCAGGACCATTGCCAGCCCTCCATCCCACGGGTGCCCACACCGTGCTGCTTCTGCCTTCCCCAAGGGGAGCAGGGGGTGACACTCATCCTGGCTGAGGCTTCTGTCCTCGGGAGCACTGCTCTCATGGTGTCATGCGGGTGGATGGAGCCGGCCGTGAGGGCTGTGCTGGTGCCTGCAGGGCAGCGTGAGCGGGATGCAGCTGTTGGGCACTGCAGTCTCCTGCTGTGTTGGTGTTGCTGAATGAGCGATCCTCCCGGTGTCATAGAGGTAAATTATAAATAGGTGACGTCAGTGTGGGTGAGCATCACAGCTCCCAGGTGGTGGCAGTGCTGTCTCTAGGCTGATTCCGAGCAGGGTGTAGAAATGCAGGTATCTGTGTCATTGGCCTCGTTAGCTGCTTACCAAAGTGCACACCCTGGCAGTGCCTGCTGCTGGGTACCACGGGTGGCTGTGGGGCTGGGGCTGAGCAGCAGGCTGGGCTGTGCCCACCTGTGTCCCTGCTGCCCTTGGCACAGTCCTCTGTGGTCCGGTTGGTGCACTTTGTTTTCCAATAATTCTCTTAATTATTATTTTTTTGGATGTTTTCATTTATTTTTTTTTTTCCTGCAATGAATACAAAAGCTGCTTGAAGTGACATTTCAGCGCTGTGTTGAGCACTGTAACTGCTGGGGGTGGGGCTCAGGCCCTGCTGTCACTGTTTGTAACCGAACCCCTCGTGGGCTGTGTCTGTCTGTAATGTCACTGGTAAGAACTGTGGTACTACATGTCATTCGCACCAATAAACGCTGATGTCGGACAGGTGCTGGTGTTGTCTGGGTCTGGGGGTGCAGGGAAGCAGAAAGGAGGGGGGTGGGAATACCTTCCTTCATGTACTGTGTGTGTGTGTGTGTGTGGATGTGTGCACATTCACAAGAGGTATTCCATTGCACTCACCCCACTGTCGTGTTACAGGATCACAGACACAGAGGTGAGTACAGAGAGGCATTTATAGGAATAACTGACAAATGTAGAAGGTAAACGTATTTCTTCAATGCACACACGGTGCTTCCTCATCTGCAGCCAGCACTACTGGCTTTTTAATAACTAAATTAATTTTTGGATGCATTTTTTATAATTAATTAATAAAGTTTATGTATTGCCTGTAATTTAAGCTAAGTCCGTGATGCAGAAATGCAGTTATACACGTGTGGAGCTTGCTCTCTGTATTTGTTTGCCTATGTATAATACAACTTACAAAATCTTTTTTTTTTGCTGTCACTTAAATCAGCCCTGTCTCAAACAGTGGCTGAGGCTTCAGACAGAGGGAGACAGACTGTGTGTGTGTGCAAAATGAGGGCCTGTATAATAACTATTAGAGCTTACCAAGTATTAAATAGAAAAAGACCACAGTAATGTGAGTATATGTTCTACCTGTGATAAGGAATCCTCCCTGGACGGGGCCGTGGCCAGGGCTGCTCCATCCCACCACACAATAATGATGTGTGCAGCATTCAGCCAGCGCTGAGCAGGAACTGAGGCTGCAAACTGAAGCGATTTGCACCCATCACAAACTCTCAGAAAGCAGCTGTATCGTAGATCCTGGTATAAAGTGTTTATTTGAGACATCACAATTAACACAAAATCTGCCTTTCATTGCCTTCTTTTCTTTCTCATACAGTCAGTAAAGTCTGATGAACCCCTCCCTCCCCCATGCATGATTGCTGTTTATTAATCTAAGCCTTCGTATTTTCATCGTGAAAAAATAAAGCGTTTCCCCCTCCCAGTTGTTTGCTGCACCACTGCCACGCAGCGCTCTGCATTAAAGAGATGTAGAACTGCTATGCCTACCACTGGGGTTGAAATTACTCCATTATTTATTGATTTATCCTTTTTACACGAAGTGTTAAATGAATCAATCACCAGAGAAAAATAAATATATCATAAAGAACCAAAAGTTCTGCAGTATCCCTTTTCTTTACATATAGCTGCATTTCAAATGCAGACATTGCTCGTGGCTGTTCACTGTTACAGATGGGTGTGAACTCAGAATGAGAAAGAATGTTCCAAAGGAGCAGAGCCTCCAGCCAGAGGAGGTATTTTACATGCCCAATTTTTAAGCCTAGGCAAGAGAGATCCGTGTGGAGCCAATTACCTGCGTTCCACTGATCAGCTTTCACTCGAGAGCAATTCAATCTTGTGCTTTTCAGAAGTATCAGCTAAACACACACACGGGCTCAGGCAGAGCCAGCTCACCACAGACACAGGCAGTGCTGTTCTCACTGCAGCAGAGGGAGCTCCTGCTGTCAGTGCATCCTGGCTGTGCAGCTCCCTGTGCTCCAGGCTCCTCGCATGCATCGCAGGGCTTTTGGCACCAGCCTCAGCCCTCAGTTACACAGTGACTCACCCTGCTTTCAGGATGTTCGTGGCAGATGGCAGAGGTCAGGGAGGCCTTCTTGTACCAAACGTGGTAGTGGGTAGGTCGTGGAGCAGACCCCTATGTACTGAGTTATTGTGCAAAAGGAATACTGCATCAGAAACCGTAGACTATATTTTAATCAAAGTCACCAGCCGCTGCATCGGAAACCTGCTAACAATCTCTGCCATTGGTTCTTTTGGCTACTTTTTGTTGGTTTCTTTCTTTTGTTTACATAAATAATATAGACCAAACATTATAAACATTTCAGCAACCATTTCTAAAAGACTGGAGGAGCCCTTTTAGGCGCCAAGAAACAACTGCAGGATTCAAATTCCAAAACTGTCTTTGGAGTCATTGAATCGTCAGTGTGCACGGCAGCCTGTGGCAAAAATACTCAGTCCAGTTCAATAGGACTGCTGTCTTCCTGACCATCTTCTGTGTCATCATCTTCTCCAGTTCCCATCAGGCTGTTTAAAAGATTTCCTAGAACCAAGTACATGACAGTCAAACTTAGCTTACCGGTCCCATACGCTCATTAAAAACTTCTTATCTGCTCTCTGACCGTGCTGGAAGGGCTGATTGCAGTAACCAGAACTGCTGGCATAAACCTTACCTAGTAATCCTCCATAGGATGATGTCTGCTTGGGCGGAACACCAAAGAAAAGCTGTCCTATTCTATCTAGGTACTGGAATGACACAAGATGGAGAACAACATCAGCTGCTTCGTTTACAGGTGGAAGTACCACAAGTGAGATCACTGACTCCTGTCCACAAGCTGTATTCAACCATCCGATTTCTCAGCATGCCATAGAGAACAACTGAAATGCCATGCCTGATAGCTTTATCAGCTTCCACTCCCACCAATGAAACACACTCCTCCCAATAAAAGCCACCTGCTGTCCACAGCATCTATCAGCACCTCACCTGGAGAAACACAAAGCCAGCACCCAGCGGCTGCCTCAGCCACATTACATGCAGTGTGACCCACGTGCTTTGCACTCAGTGATCAGCCATTATTTAACTAGCTGTGGGGGTTACATCCTGCTGCAGTTCCCAGTAACTCACCTCATTATACATGGGATCTCTTTTCAGGGACGGCTGGTACTGTTCACACAATACTGTAAATACTGTTAGTTTTCCCCTAGAAAGGAAACAACCAAAAATGTCATCTCAAGAGCAAATGAAAAGGAAACCAAGAGCAGAGTGAGAAAAATCACACCGTACCCATCAACAGCCAATAACAGAAACCAGATGAAGTTCAGCAGTGGCTGCACAAAGGGTGGACCCTTTTCTATTGAAGGATGTTTCTGTGTATACGTTGTAAAAACAACTGAGGCGCTGGTCTTGTTTTTTAAGCAGAGAAATCTGCAAAAGGAAACAGAACAGGGGAAGGTAAAAAACAGAGAAGAGTACGAACTGCTAGGTAAGAGAATCTGGTGTGGCCTCTGAGATAAATTCTGAGGCCATTAAAGGACATAAGTAGTGCCTCTGTCTAAATGCTGAGAGAAAGAATCCCTTATTTGTAACCGATACTCACAGAAACAAACACTCACAGCACTGTTTAAGAGTGCTACCTACAGCAGACCTAGAGAAGGGATTTTCTACCACTAACCACCACTACAATCTCTAGCAACCAGCTAAAGAAAGCAGGACACATCCGACACGACAGCTGGAGGCTGCCAAGAGACAGCCTCACTCTCGCCCACTCCCTCTCACAGCACCTCCTGTCCGTGCTGCAGTCCTGGCTGCACCTCCTGCTCAGCCTCCCCCTGAGCTGCTTTCCCTGCCTGCAGGAAGCCACCTGCTGATTAAACTCAGGAAAATTGGCTTTGTCAGCCTCAATTGTACATTAGCCTTGCAAAGGCACACACAGCCTTGCACTCCCACGTCCTTCCAAATAAATGCTTACAGAAAACGAGAGCCACCAGCAGTTCTGAGAAACCACTGGTCTGTGCTGCTCAAACACCAGGGTGACCCAACGTATGAGACCGAGAGCAAGTCTTGTGCCCATGTAGTCCCAGGCCTGGTGAGCGCATCCAGTTAATTCCTAACCAACCAGGCACAAAGTAGGGTTAAGGAAAAGGAAGAGTTGTGCTCTGAGGGTCAAACAGGTTACGTCAACTCTTCAAGCAATTAACACAACGTTAGGTTTTGACCTTAACACATTTTTTCCCCACTCCACATGAGCTTTGAGACAGGTTTCTATTGCTACCACACGCAGTGAGCTTTGGAACCTCTGGTCACTTTCACAGCTTCTCAGAAAGGACATTCAGTTAACCCACGGTTATCTCCATCAAATTAGACTGGCCTCACACACACAAGAGTTCATAAAACAACACAACACCTACTGTAGGACTGCCTGTGCTACAAACATGTCCACCTCACTGCGATAGCCTCTGGATGAGGAGTATTCCACGAGCATGTTTGCACAGCCTTCACCATCTGTGGAGTGCAAGAAGTGATACCGAGATTCACTATAGTTTTGCTCTATAAAAGGAAAAAGAAAATGGCATTTAAGAAATCAGTTCATCATAGCTGAGCATAAAAACACATTTGCTAGGCTGGTGCTCTACAGGCAGGAGGAGCTGCACACAGTAATGACAGGACAAGCAGCAAAAAGGAGAGGCGCTTTTTCCCCCTGTAAATTATAGGCAATTGATGAAGCCCATCAGTACCCTCAGCATCCTTCCTTCTACGTGCACAGAAAGAAGGCATTCCCTATTTTTAGCATAGCCTGCTCCTGCTATCAAAATTACAACTGCCTTCGTGTTCTGAACATAACAGCAATTATGCAGGAGAAAAAGGTGCAAGAAATGAAAGTGTTTTGTTAGAACCTGAAGCCAAGTATCATGCAAAAGCGTGGTAGTGACAAATACAACTGGAAACCTGCTCTTTTTTGGAATTTAAAAGCTTTGTTAGAAAAATCACAGCCATTTCTGATGACTCCCAACAGCTACTAAGAAAACACACACATCCTGATCTGTGAGAGAAGGACGAGCAGAAGGTTACAGGATGGGGATTCTGACTGTCAGAATGTAATGCTTTCTACGCTAATCACACCACAGCTTCTCACTTTAACACTGAGGAAAATCTTCCCTTGGAGGTGGCAGCAGCCATCTAAAAACCACCACCAACCCCTGAGAACAGCCCTGGTCTGAGTGTGGCACACAGCCATGAACACCAATCCCAGCTCCTGAAAGACGTTAAGCAGACGAGCAATCACCTTGCACAGCTTTTAATGGGTGAGAAACCAGAGGAGAGCATTAATTATTTGGCTGTTCTCATCCACCTCTCTGTTTTGAGCAACAGACTTTAAAAACTGAGTATGAAACAATTATTTTGAGCATTTTGGTCTATTTGAAATCCCACTCTGCAGGGGAAATGCCTGAAATAAGCCTCTTCAACACCCCACGGGTACCCAGAGGTCAGATGCTGTGATGCGTATCAATCTTTCTTAGGTTTAACCAGGATGTGATGACAAGCCAACAGAACAGCCCTGCTGCCCAACAAGCTTCCTCCTAACGACTCTTAGCCAAACTACCTCAGTGCCTAAAGGATCAGCCCTCCTTTTACCAGAGAGCTTTACAGTACCTGTGTTTTGGGGTTTGCACAAATACATTTATGAGCCTATTTTTTTTTGTTGTTGTTAGTGGCAAAACCCTGAAATGCTGACAAACAGCAGGGAACACCAGCAATCATTTCCATCTCAGCTTCCCTAGGTTATTTCCAAAATACATCTCTTACATCTTTCAACATTTTCAAAACCAAACACAGGAGAGCCAGTTGATTTTTCTTACCTTTCCACAGGGTAATGGCTAGTAACTGATGTAATTTTGGATGGCCAAGTTTTCCTGATCCCCCGCTAGACCACTTCAGTGCTCTGGATACAAAAGCCACTCTTTCAGGAGAATTTGGATCCATTAAACTAAACAATTTTGCCAAGTTTTCTACAAGAATAACATTCACAAATGCATAATGTTAACAGAAACAGGGAGACTTGCTGCTTCTCAAGATACAACTCCTAATAAAACAAGCTCTGTTCTCAGTCTTTATAAGAGATCTTAAAAATCTTAAATACAATGATTTGAATTGCAGAAATACACCACAAACATCACATCAATCCTGTCATGGTTTGGGACACGGAATCCCAGAGCTTCAAACAGCCCCAGAGTTGGGAAGGCTTTTGGCCTCAGGAGTGCTTGCCATCAACAGGGCAGCAGACAGAAGCCTGCAGTTCCAAAAAGGACCACCAGAAGTCATCAGTGGGATACAGAAAGGCAGCGGTGACCGAAGGCAATAAGGAAGGGTCCATCCCAGCTCTCTGCACCTTCTGCCCCCACCCACACTGCAGCCTGCTGAGGCAATGGCTGACTCCCTGAACCAGGCACAAGGCAGACTCTTAAGGTCTTCCCGAATTGTCTGCTCACTAAATCTCAACTGGAGAAGAAAGTGAGAGGCTGACTGACAAGTACTGCGTGCACCACCACGCTGCTATGGCAGACATGGCTATCCAGCAAAGCCTTGGAGCTGCAAGTCACTGTGCAGACAACAGGCAGTGAGGAAAGGAGGATGCCACGTTAATTCAAAGTATGTCCCTTTGCTCACAGCACTGTCAGTTATCAGCAACCTATTCTTCTCTAACAAAATTTTCCTCCCATCCTTTTCCACTTCCCAGCCCCATGGGATGACAGTGATTTCAGGTTCCAGGACTCAGTGCTCACCGAGAAGTGAGAACACCTAAACAAACTGAGTGCAAGGGTCACCGTACCTAAAAGGTCATCTGATACTTTTGCATCTGACTTCTCCAAAGACTCCAAAACCAACATGGACAGATCAGCAGCACTGTTTTGCTAAAAGACAAACACATGCTGGTAGTGATGAACGTAACAGTGAATCAAAGGAAACATCATGAAAGAGTTCATTTCTCATGCAGAATTTTGTCAGAAGCACAGTAATACTTTTGTCAGCAGTTACAGGTAAAGAACAACAGGAAATTTCAATTCTCTCTTACAAAAATTTACATTAATTTGATGGAAACAGCAAGAAGTTCCCAGGAAAGCAAAACAAATGCAGTTCACAGTTCCAGTTTGGAATCACCTTTCCTTGTGGAGAGAAACTCAACAAAGAGATAAAGCTAAAGATTATGAAGCAACCACCCCAACATTTGCCATTGGGAATTCACTACTCACCCCACAACAACCCCCCAGCACCACACAAAAACACCAGCATACCTGGTTGTGACTGAAGAACAGCAGAGCCCCTGAGTACATTAACTCTCTCGCTTCCGCATATTTTCCTTGTGACATATACCTGGGAACAACAGCAAAGCCTTAATAAAAGTTACTAGAAAGCAAGTTGCATATGCATCAATTAATGGAAAGGATTAAATTGTTTGATTCTGCACCAGTGAGGGCCACCAGCCACCCGCACTGAAGCCAAGCAGCCTGTCTCTGTGCTGGCAGGCAGCCCGCAGGCTGTGCCGTCACAGCGTTCTCTCACACACCTGCTGCAGCTCCTCCCTTCCTCACTTAGGAGCAAACCAAAAAATGAAGGACACAACCGGTTCCAACAGTGACCCCAAGATCTCCTACCACAGCATGGTGATCACGGCCTCCTGCACGGCACCGCAACGGGCAACTGCAGCTCTTGGACCATCACATCTCCAGGTTAGAAAGGCAACACTTCCACTGAGAGCAGCTAAGGATAGCAGGACTTTCTCTGAGTAAGTGCCCTCAGCAGCTCACAGCCACAGTAATGCCTCACGCATCAGCTGAGCAGCTCGGCACCTGCAGCGTTTTGCAGCTGGCCTCACAGCCAGGTGTGCCTCAAGGCTTCTGGCTCCAAAGCTCCTCGAGGATCTCCCTCCCACTGAGCCGTTTCCAAGAGCCTCCTACTCTGGAGTGGCTGCAGGTGATACTAATGAAAACTGCTCTACAACATAAAATACATCTTAAGAACCGTTTTTGGAAAGATATGAACAAAAATGATTAGAAATATTCACCCTGTGAATCCAAATGGCATTTAGAACCAAAGAGTAACAGAACTGAAATCCTGTGACAGATGATCCATACCATACAGACCTACAAGCACAAGGATAACAGAAGTCAGTGCCACTACAGAGGCAGTCATGTTGAACCTTTGATTCAAGTGCCAGAGCACAAAGTGATGGCTCCACCCAGCCTGCACTGCCCACATAATGCTGCTTGGACAGCAGCAGCACATTCCTCCTGCCACATGGAGCACAGCGAGGGACAAGCACTGCAGGATGCAGGTTTGTGATAATCCTTCCTCCCCACCCTCCTCCAACCTCAAGCACCCCTTGGCTTCTGACTTCTGAAGCTCTGAGTCAGGATTGCAGGTTTGACTCGCACTGCATGACGGAATGGACTCGCATTTACAGGCTGGCTTTGATCAAAGTGAATCAACACTGTGTCCCAATTACATTCCGCAGCTGAGATCACCTCACTCTGTGCTGATGTCTCTCTGGAAGACTGTTTACATTCAACACACATTTAGCAGAGGACAGACAAGACTGTCTGGGACTCCTTCCCACTCTCAGCGACTTTCCAAACAAATCTTCTCTGCCTCATTCTATCTTTCTGCCTGGAAGGAAATCCCCTCCGTAGCTACGCAAATATCACCTTTCCCTTTAATTAAGCACCTTCCTTCTGCATTTGAAAGGGAAAAGGCAGGAACTCTCACTCCAAATTAATACAGTGAGGCTTAAGCAAAGCATGACAGCTAAGGCATATAAAACATGAGATGAGAAACAACTGCTGAACAAAGTCATTTTCCACCATTGCAGCCACCACCTCACGTAATCCTTCCCATAAAATAGGCCGCACTATGGCTTAGATTTACGTTTCTCCTCAGATAATGATAATTTAAGTCTGAAACCTTTGATGTTGCCCTCGCTGATCCCAGCAGATCTGCTGTGTGATGGTGCTCAGTATATAGCAGGGAGGGCAGCAATGGGAAGAGTGCACTGAGGACATTATGGCCTGCAGTGCTGAGGGTGCAGCACCCCACACTCTGGCTGCTGTGTGCTGAGGGTACCCATGTGCTGATCCCATTCAGCTCTGGGGACATATGGCACAAGGGAGCCACGAGGCTGAGGGCAACATCCCAATTCTGGCACTACCACGAGTGAACAAAGCCAACCAGTGAAGCCCCTACAAGGGGTACCTGATTCAGCGCTCCCAAAGGTCTATCTTTTAAACTGAACGTGGAAAGAGGTGACAACAGCAAGTCGCCATGGATGTGAGCAATGAAAAGAAATACTGCAAGAGGCCACAGTAATAACTGAAATGTCTGACTGAGCATCCAGGTCTCCTCTACTTAATTTCTGCCACATACACAAGGAAGAACATTTTTGCCCATAAGCTTGGTCAGCCTAAAGCTGCCAGGGAAGGGGAATGGCGAAGGCAGAGCCAGCAGAGGCTGCCCAGAGACAGCAACAGGCACAGGGATCAGCAGGACTGCACCTGAGGAGCACAGCAAAGGGGTGCAGGCAGCGAGCCAGCTTCCACAGGGGCACAGCCTCAGCGCCTCTACAGTAACGCAGGGGCATGGGAAACAGGCACAGGGAAGCACAACTTGTAGCCCAATCTCGGGGCCGGAATATCCCGGAATGCAGCGAGACGCGCGGCGACGTCTCGGGAGCCCTGCAGGCTCTGGAGGAGGGAGGAAGGAGGGCCCCTGTGTTAGGGAAGGCCTGGCCCACATGGAGCCGGGCAACGGCGACGGAAGGGTCGGGAACCTCCAAGCGAGAGCCGGGAGAGGCCGGCACGGGAGACGCGTCAGCAGCGCCGCGTCCCGCGGCCCTCACGGCGCCAACGGGGGTCCCGCCGCCGGACCAGCGACACGGGCATAGCCCGCCTCCTCAGCCCCGCGAGCAGCGGGACGCCGGAACACCGCGGAGTCACCACGGGCGGCGGCGGGGCTCGGAGGAACCGCGGCGGAACCCCGCGGCGCGCAGGCCGGGCCCAGGAGCCGTGCCGCCCGCAGCCTGCCATGCGCACGCCCGCCCCGCCCCGCCCCCGCGCGGCCCAATGAGAGAGCGAGAGGCGGAGACGGACGGGAGCGGCGGCCAATAGGAACGGGACGTGGGCGCGGCGGGCGGCAGCGGGGAGCGATGCGTGGGAAGGCTCTGGAAGGCCGCGCGGGGGAGGGGCGGGCGGGCGGCGGGCCGAGCCGTACCTGAAGAAGAGCGTCCGGTACATCTGGTGCGCCTCGTAGTAGTCGCCCTTCTCGACGCTGGCGCGCAGCTTGCCCTCCACGCGCTGCACGCCGCCGCGGTTCCTGCCGCCGCCCTTGGCCGCTTCCTGCTCCGCCGCCATAATCGCCGCCGCCATCGACGCGGAGGAGCGCGGAGGGGGGGGGAGGGAAGGAAGGAGGACGGGCGGGAGGCGGGCGCAGACGCGCGCAGCCCCGGAGCGACGTCGCGCCTCACCGCCCGGCTTCCGCCCGGCGCGACGGCGGCCCGCGAGGCTCAGGAGAGCGGCTGCGCGGAGTCACGTGGGGCGCGGAGTCACGTGGGGGCGGGGCCCGGGGCGGAGCAATGGCAGCGGGCGGCGCTCCGCCCACATCCCGCAGACCTGCGGCCGGAGGCTCGGGGCTTCAGTGCTGTAGCAAGGCTGCTTCAAGCCGGGCTTTGACGTGGAGAGGGGGGCGTTAATTATTCAAAGAGATCATCGAAGATACGGAAAAAAAACCCAAACCAAAGCTTTATTTTGTTTCAAATATTACATGCACTTTGAAAAAATTAAAACTCTTTATTTAAACATTTCCATAGCATCTCGTCAGTTTGGAGGCAGCGAAGAACAGACGATTTGAAAAGCATTTACAAAAATACATTGCACAAAGTCCTATCTCGCTTCTTTAAAAAATAAGTTAGTGTTATTCAAAATACTCCCACTACCCAATTCCAATTTATACAGGATAATTCTAATTTAAATATGTAACATATTAAAACACCTGTACATACAATGCAGCTCTGCATGGGCCGCGGGCTGCAGCTCAAGGGAAGAGTTCTCCATGCAGAGACTGTGTTGAAACATCGGAGGACTGTTGTGCAACATACAGAACTCTATTCAGAAAACCAGTCAGCAGCTCCCTGTGTTAACTGTTCACAGGTCATAAAATGCATGGGAACAACCAGATAAAAGTTCTGCACACCAAGTGCATGTAGAAGTCTTTTCTGAAAAGGATCTGTAAAAGTAGTGATGCTAAAGGGGGGCCCTAGAGCAGCCTCAGCTCGCGCTGTGTACAAAGCTTTGCATGCCCACCTACTGGACACCATTACTTTGTACTGATGAGACTTCACAGCCCCATTTTCCCTGTGCTGCATTATTGCAGTACAACATTTACCAACCATAAGATGTAAGGAGAGAATTTCTGAGGAATTAAGATAGTCCTTCTCTAGGGTTAAGTTCCAAATCAGCCTTGGTGTACTAAGTGAGAAGAGCTGATAAAACTGTTAAACTGCTTGGTAAACATTCACATACAGCAATTAAACAAGCTCATCAAGTTGCCATGGTAAAAACCCTTAAAATAACTTGAAGTTATCCCTGAATTTTAAAGCAACCCATGGCCACAAATTACAGTAAAGCATTCTCAGGCGCTGGTGTTTAAATTAATTTTGGTTGTGTTAACTTTCCCTGACAGCAATATTTTATAAAGTCAACATTTATTGAAGAAGCCCTTTAGGATCCCCCAGCAGGTCAAAACAAAGTCAACTGAAGGACACCTGCAGCCACAGGCTGTTTAAACTCCATGACATTATTTGGCTTGCAGTGCTAAGCTAACAAATATGCTGTTGAGCCCTGAATTAAAAGAAAAAAAAAAAAAATCCTAGTTGCAGAAAGTGGGGTTTTTTTTTTTTTTTTTTTAAAAAAAAAAAAAAAAAGCAAAAAAAACACATACATTCATTTGTAATAAAATAGGTATCACCTGATTGCTAACTGGGCTTTATGAACCAGAGTTGTTTGCATGCATTACTTCTCTCAGCATGGACACAAAAATATAAAGCTAACTGGCAATTACAAGCTGAGCATTAGAGCAAGTGAGTTTTATTTTATACAGTTCTGCTGACAGTCTTTATCAGAGGACTGGTAGCTCTGCAGAATATATCTCGCATCCTCGTCCTTCAAAGATTCCAGTGTTGTAGGCTGTCCGGTATATACAGATTGCAAACAAAATGTACAACAAAGCAACCCACGCTGTAGTGTAGGGGATTATTCAGCAGGCTTCCCATGCACTCTGAACCGATAAAGGCAGGTATACTCTGCATGTCCCCAGTTAGAAAGAATTCTCAGTTCCACTATCTGGAATACGTTTTCACTTTTCTCCTGGAGAAAGAAAGAGCAAACACACAAACTAGAGTTAGCTCTCTAGTATAAACTGCCACAACCAAAGTTGCATTCTCAACCAAACTTGCTTTCTGCAACTCACTCTTATTAGTAATTAAGTTATGGCTTGGGAACTTCTTACCACTTTGAACAGAGCTTTCCTACTTTGTTTGCTCCTTGCTTGTTAAGGGAGCAGAATAAGTGTGAAGCTGATTCTTCGTAAGTTTGTTACTTTCACACCAGTTGTGTCTAGACAGCAGAAACATTTCATCTTATCTATTTAGATGATGGGTTTTGATGCAAATACAGAAATACTTCCTACATCTGTTTTTACATTGCCCAACAGAGAATGCAGCCCTTCTCTTCACAGGTCATTGGGTACTGCCATAAAAAACGAGTCTCTCCTGACACTTTAAATCTCATCACCCAAACTTACCACTGTAAACATCTGCAGCGGCTCCCCTTCTTGGTCATAGACATACTGACCCAGAAACGTGCCCTCCTCTTGATATTCATCATCTAAGCCCTGTAACAATGAGATAAAGATTTGTTTCTCTCAAGTATTGAAACTGTAGAAGCATATTTATGTAACTGAGGATCAACAAGTAGCATCCAGAAATCTACCATGCAAGGATTAGAATGTTTCCCATGCAACTCAGTGCTTGTTCAGACAAGCTGTACATTCAGTTCCAGCTATTGTTTGACTGTGAAAACATACAAACTCCTTAACTTTTATAGCAGAAATTAAGGAGCTAATTTACTACCATCGCACTGCAAAATATGACCTGCTCATGACAAACAGAACTGCTACCTCCCTTCACAGAAGTTCACGATTCTAACAAGCATGAGGAGAATAAATATCCCTCCAAACTACTTTTAGCACTTGTTTCTAGATCCCAAAGCTCATCAAGAATATGAACAATTCTAACAGCAAAAACTGAAACACCACTTTCTCTTCTTAGCTGTTCTCCCTCATTATTTCCAGGATATACAACAAGTACTCTTTATAAACACCAACAGTTTAAAACTCAAGACTTACATATACTGAAAACTTCCTAGGAGCACTGGTGATATTTCCTGATGGCGAAAGTGTTTTTGGTATGTGTTCCAACGAGAAGGCAGTAGGGTAGATCTTCATGGAAAGTCTAACTACAAGATATCCCTCTGATCCCTTGAAAGCCCAGCAGTTCCCTGGATACACGTCCGGCTGAACAGATTTCAGGGCAAGTAGACAGAAAGGTGTGGAAAGAACAGGACAAGAAAGAACATAAACATTCGTTGCATTTTGTTTTTGCAATGAATTCTGAATTACTGGTCTTAAAACGATAATAAGCGGCAGAACAAGTTATTGTGTGTTTTACTGGTTACTGAATAACTCCACTCCTAATCACAAGTCCAATCCTGCCTCCAAAACCAAACATGAAATGATACTTTGTGTTAGAAGGACTATACAACAGAATGGAAGACAGGGGTTGCAGTTTTAATTGTGTTCATCACAAAGGCAGTGGATCCACCTGAACTGCCAGCACTCTCTTGAAGACTGCTTTCTAACAGGAGCCTCCCAGTGCCCACATTTTGCAGAAATCCAGTGCAGCACCAAGGCTGCTATGAGAGCCTTAGTTTTGTAAAGAAGGGCCTTAAGCAACGCCAAGGGCCTTCAGGAATAATCACACTCTCAGAACAAAGTACCCCGACCTCATCCTCCCCACCCCAGAGGAGCCTATCACAGAAAAACACTCAGCACCCAAAAACCACCCCAGGACACTCAACACAAAGTAACACTGCTGAACTTGTTTACTTTACTTTTAATTACCTGAATAACAACTCTGGGAGACTGAGAGAAGTACCACAGAGGAATTCCAAAGAGGCTAATTAACGCTGTTTTTGTCTCATAGGTTTCCGAACAGCGAGTACTCAAAATGCTGCCGCCTTAAAAAAAGATAAAATCAGGTTAGCAGAAGTAATTTTTCATTCCTTCCTAAAGGCTTTTTATTTCCCCCCCTTAAAAAACAACAAGAACTCAACCAAATATGAAAGCTTTCATTAATCTCTAATAACTTTCCAATGCTCTGCTTCTGTCAAATACGTTATTTTAAGTAATCATTACAGATTTTTCACTTCAGAAGACTGAAAGATTGTACACTTCCCACAATAAGTTCAGTGATGTTCAGTCCCTTCACACATACAGATTTGTGGTTCTCAATTATTTAGATGTTTTTATTGGAAGTATACCATTTTCCCTAATGTTATAGTATTTCTTATGTTTACCTCCAGATTCTAAGGCAAAATCCACCATCCCAGTCTTGTCTTGGGAGTACAGCTTCAATGCATTGTTTACAATGATCTGTGCTTGCTACAGGTGGACACAGAAGAACAGAAAGGAAAGACAACATGAAGTGACAAGAGCTGATACATTCACATGACAAGTGGTAAACCCCCTCTGAGATGCTGCACTCTACTGCAAATCTTTGAGAGCCTCAGTCAACATAAAGCGTGTTTGTAAATGCTTGAGCAAATGGCTCAAAACAAATCCATACTACGTCTTGCCTGATGTTCTCTTCAGAACTGGGATTCTCTACCCTCCCCCCATCTGCCCACATCATTTGGGAATTCTTCTGTACTCAAGACAGCAGACTTTTTTGGGGAAAAAAAAGGCACATTCAGAGTAGCCAACAACTGCTGTAAGAGTGCACTCAATTTCCCATAGTTCTGCCCATTTCAATTAATCTTTCAGGCACCTCTTCAAATCATTAACATTGACATAGACAGCTGTGTTCCACTAAATGCATGTAAAGGACAATTTTATTGAACTCAGCACTTTAGCTGACTCACTGCTTCTGTGATTCCAGAAATCCCTGCGTTATTCACAGCATTTGTTACTACTTCAGATGTTATTCTTTGGTTTGTTACAGCCATCTGCAGAGTGATATTCTTGAGAATTTGCAACTCCAGATCCTGCAGCAAAGTTTGCAGATCACTTCTGGTCACAAAATTGGATGTAAGCCACTGGAGAAGCGATTCAGGAAAGTCCTTGTGCTGATCACCAAAAACCATCATCTTGACAGATTCTTTAACCTGGGCATCTACCTATTCACCAACAATTGGAATAGAAATGATTAGTATTACGTAATGGTTTATGAAGTCCATCTAGTAGGCACACATGAAGTCAATACATCCTTCCAGTATTACAGAGAAACCCAGCCTGCACATGTGTTTTAACTGCAGTGACTTACACTAGAGTATCAGAACAGGTAATTATGCAGAAGACATGGATGAACAGGAGGCTTCATTGGGTTGGGAGCAGCTAAAAGTCCTGCTAACGAAGGGCTTTATGTAAGGAAGTCTGACTGATGGTTCAGAATAGAAAAGTTGATTGCAACAGTTCCAAGGGACTGTGGCAACTCTAAGGGGAGCAGTACACTTATCAGGTCTAATAAAGCAGTCACTTCAGTGACTATTCACCTATGGCATACTTTGATTTTGTACACATAGATAAAAGAACTCGTGATAACACTGGAATATCAACTTGGACTAAAATAAGAACTTAAGGACTGCTGCATTTTATTGACTACATTCAAACTGAACCTTACAGAAGTTTAAAGAAATAAAGCATGATTTTTAACAGAAGTCCCAGATGACAAACCTAGCATTGCTTACATGAGTTCCTTTTCCACATTTGCATGAGATGGCACTATACAGCAAAGTACAGTGCATTCAACTGACACTGCATTATCTCAAATGCAAACGAAGCTGCCATTGTGAAAAACAGACCACAAGCTCAGACCATAAGCTAAGCTGCTACCAATAATGGGGAAAAAAAAAGATCATAGTACCACTCCATGAAGCACTGCTGTTTTCTTAAGATGAATATTACTCCTATATCACTTTAGCAGTGCCTTTTAAAAAAAGTTTGTGAACAAAATCTAGTCTGACTTTCACTAGGATGGTTGCCAGAACTTACTTTTTCATGAATAACATCTATTTTCTCATAACTTGTCTTCACACTTTCTCCAGTTGACAGCTCTGATTTCACTTGAGACAACTCTAGTTCCAGCTTTTTAACTCTGGATAAGAGTTGGTTATGTTCATCACCATCTCTGACAAAAACAAATAGCCAAAAATTAGGAAACAATTAGTTTCAATCATTCCATCAAATTCTAAAGGCATGAGAATACATTTGTCTAAATACAAAGTGCTTTCCTAGTTCAGTTATCCATTGAGATAGACATCATAAGCTTGCAGTTCCTTGAAGGCTTTCAGATCCTTAGGATGAAGATAATAAAGTAAAATATTTCAGAATTCTGAACAAATCCAGAAGCAATGACTTTCAGGACATCATCCCACTGACAACTCAGTAACTCAGACAGATACAGAGTTCTGGTTTGGCCGACCAGCCAAGCTTTACTTGTTTGAACTGGCCACTGATTAGAGCAAGTTTCAAGTTACCTTAATACCTGCCTATGAAGTTACTATCTTCAGCTGAGCCTGTGAGCACAGGTCACACAACTACTGCTCATCAGCACTCAGTGTGTGCTATGGAAAGCAGTAGCCAACATTCCAAAGCTATTTCAATTAAATGTAAAAATAAGAATTCACAAAGTCAGTGTTTTCTCCTCCCAACTGGGAGGAGAAACTTAGTGAACTTAGAACTTAGATAACTTAGTGAAATTCTGTGTTTTTTTTTCCTGATACTACACTGGATGTTAGCAGGCAGCAGTTTGTCTGACAAACCAGAACCATGGCTGAAAGTGAGAGTTGATAAGATTTAAAAAGTTAAAAATATGATGCATCAAAACCAATCACTGTATGCTAAGCAGTTTGAGGAAGAAATCTTACATGTCTGTAAAAGCACAAGAAGTCTGCCACAACTAATAACTGATAGCTGTATTTAAAAAAAAAAAGCCTATCACCATTAGTGAGCTTCAAAGCTAGACAAAAAAATTAAGTGCTCATACCTTATTGCTTTTGCTTTGGCTACTTCAAGTTCCTTCTGAATGTCCTAAAAACAAGAACAGAAGTTTGGTTTAACACAATAACACAAGTGACAGACAAAAAAACAAGTGAATCAAGTGAAAAAGCGAGACATTCTAGCACCACCTATATGAGGCTGTGTTCCTACTTCTCTTTGTGCCTCCATACAGTAAGATTTTATTCCAAATATCACCCACCTTCCTGGTCAATTTTTAACCTTTGAACTGAAAACACTGCCAAGAATGGAGAAAAGAAAGGACACTAGGCAGCAAAACAACGTGTTGTTTCATGCAGTGAAACAAATGTTCAAAGCTAGTGTGAAGTAAACTAGGTTTGAGGACAGAAGAAAATAAACAGTTTGTTGCCTATTTCATCAGAACATTACTATTATATCTAGCTGGAAGAGCTAACTTTCATACCTTAAACTCAGCAGAGAGTTTTCTAAGAAGATCTTCCAATGTTACGATGCGCAAGTTGTGCTCTTGATGTAAAGCCAGGAAGTCAGTCTTAAAAACAGGAAAGAAGAAGGCAGCATACTTTGAGTACAAAGTGCTTTGCTAAAATGGTGTTTCATTCATTCTGTGACCAAAGCTTTCAAGAATGCTAAATAACTGTTACACAGTAAATGACAGGATAGGTCAACTCCACCCCACAAAGAGAATCCTATGAAGTCACATCACTGATCAACAGCATTAACAGAACAGTGCTCTGATCAGTCTCAGAAATGGTCAGTAATTGACTTACCGTTACCTTTTCCTCCAGCCTCTTATCTTTAAGATGTTGATCCATCACATTTCTTATTAGCTTCAAGATTTCATTTCTGTCACCCATCTGGGCAACCTGATCTTGAAGATTATGGAGTAGAAGCAGCACTTTGCTATATTCTTCATCATGATGATGGCATTTGTCAGACACGAAGGCCATCTGCTTTTCCAGCTCATTTATACGAGCAGAATCAAATATATTTATGGTATCCTAAGGTAGAAAGATTCATTTGTTTAACACATAATTTTTATTACTCGTGGGGGTCAAGTGGTTATTGCAAAATGCCAAAGACAGGGGAGTTAGGAGGTCTGAAGGGAAAGTTCTCACCCAGACTGTTCTCCCTTACCTTTGGAGGCTGTACAGAATGAGAAGAATCAGGTTGTGGACCAGGAACATAAATAGAGTCATCTGTGCTCTGCACTTTATCAATTCTTGTCCAGTTCAACAGAGGCAGCAGTGCAACGAAGCTGTCAAATCCCCAGAACCATAAACCTTCAGTGAGCAAAAACAAAAGCAAAAAAGGGAGTTCAATCTACAAATTATTTTATGTTTTGCCACACAGTAAACTACTCCAGCCTGAATAAAAGTCATCTACATGAGGCAATTTCAAAACTGTTAAGGTAAGCACCCAGAAGCATTAGGCAGTATCAGTACCACTTGCAGGTGATTCCTGCTTATAAATGATACGTTCTTAACCTTAATCTTATGCTGCTGCTCCCCTGGGACACAGATCTCACCTGTTGAATATGACAGGCCATAACTCACTGACAATTTTTACCTTATTGGAAAACATCTTGCCTATTTACTACACACCACACTGCATAATGTCTAGCAGAAGTCTGAGAAAATTTATGCTTCCATGAAAACACAGAATTTGACAAAAATTGTACTTATTTCTGCAATATTTTAGTGAGAAGAAACAGCATTTTCTACACAGAATATCTTCTTGCTTTCTTATTCTCCATACAACTCCTCATATCTCTGAGAAGTTTTTTGAGGATATAAAAAGACACGAAAATGCTTCTCAAAAATAGCTCAGTGTCTTCAGTAAATACTTTCAATAGGAGTTTCTTTCAAAGAAGACAACTGGCCTGGAACACTGCCAGCTAATCTAAGGTATTTCAAGCAAAGTAAGTATGGAGAGAAAGAATGCATTAATAAAAAACCATAAACACACTGACAGCAACCAAAAGCCATCAGCTTTTATGCAGGTTGACACAATGAAAAGCTGATTCTTTATGAGCTCAGTGCTGCTCCTGTGAAAAGGAGCAATGCACTGCAGTGTTTTTACAATTACTTGCTATGTCTGAAAAGCTCTATGAAATTGAAGTTTCGTGAAACAAGAACCCGCTGACACACCAGTACTTTCTGGAAGCATTCACAAACTGTTCACAAACCAAAACTTGGCTTTTTAGCTTCTGTATCTTCCCCATGATCCCACAGTCCAACCAGAAGTACTTCTTTGCTGAAGCAGTAGTAAGCATACACTGATTGCTATGAAGTCTGTAAGTTTACATACCTAGTAGAAACAGCAGTGGGATGAGAAACAGCAATAGCCTGGAAACCTTTGGAAGGCATCTAGAGAAAGAGAAAAAAGTTTGCAAGAAATCATATTATCATATTTCATCTGATAACTGGGAACAGAACTTGCTCACAGAAGATTTATAATTGATACATACTTTCTAAGAATAAACACCTTCAGCAAAGACATCAGAGCAAGAAGTTGATTCCAGCCAGCTCTAAGCAACCTGAAGATGCCAGAAGCTGCTCTCCCTGGAAGACAAAAGAGGTGACATTACTGCACCACGTATTCAAGGACACCAAACAGGGACATGCAGCTGTGGCCTAGAGTACTTTGCAGAGCAGAGAAATGCACGAGCACAAGCAACACACAGATTACTAACATCTAGATGTATCTCACAGTACATCACAGTATGACAGCACTATAACCTCAACTACTCAACAAAAATAGCAGCCATGCAAGGAGATGAGATCGCACTGGTTACAACAGTATCTTCCTGAAAATTCAGCAAGAAACGTCAAGTCCAAGTTATCACACACTAAAGAGCTCAGCATGCTTCAAGAAATGCATAGATTAGCAGAGTGAGTTCACTACGAGGAATGCCATGGCAGGAAGCAAATTCCAAACCAAACACACCCCATTCTTTTTGACACCCCTCATCTGGGCTATTAACACACTCAGTCCCTCAAGAAGCAGACTAGCTCGTGTCCCACTACACCTGTGAGCAGAAGGATGCTCTCTCACTAAGCATGCTTTGGTCAGTACAGCACAGCAGCTTGCGCACTCAAGTTATGCAAGCTCCAGAGTAAGCAGAATTAGTGTCAGCCATCTACTGCAAACTTCCTATCTGTCAAGAAGGAGCAGGCAACACACAGACATACACACAAATCAGGGTAGTAACCTGGGGAAAGAACGGCCAGCCAAAGGAGAGCCAACACCTTCTGGGACACAAACCATCCAGCTGCTCCCACCGTTTGCAACACGTGCAGCACAAAGTAACCTAGATTATAACAAATTAACTATGTGGCAACATACAAATAAGGTTCTTTGAATACATGCAGTAGAAATGCCTCCATCCCCTAACCACTACGTGCTCTGCACAGTATTAAACCATACCCTTCAGCAATCTACAGACTTGTTTTTCTCACTATTTAAAAGCAAATTAAACCACCAATAAATACGAATCTAAGTAAAAGCAAGACAATTTAGAAACAGAATTCTCTTGTACACCAATAGATGTAATGGACAACAACCTCTGAGCAGTAAGAAAACCACTTCCCTCTTCACAACAGCCAAAGTTCACATTTTGTAGCATGGCATTTAGATAAGCAAGCCAAGTGCAACTGATAATGGAAAGAAATTATTCCCATAAAAATATGCTTTAAACACATTACTTTTTATGCATCTTTCTTGTTCTAGATTTTACACCAAGTTTACTATCCAGTTGTGTTTAAAAAGAGGAAATTCTTAAAGTTTAAAATTCTAGAGAAAAAAATTAATAATTCTATGTATTGATAACCAGACATTCAGTACTGAATGCAGGATGCAAGCAATACAATGTCAGCTTTGAGTCTTTGAAGGCAAAAGTCAAATGCAGCATGCTAAGACAAAATGCAGTAACTGAAACCCCCCAGAAGCCCACAGTTACTGTATGCACAGCTAGCACTGCTCGCTATGGAACAAACTACCAAACAACTTAGAAAGTAATCCTACACTTTCAGATTAGCAGCCATGTCTGGGTTAATCTGAGGGACTATAGGTATACCAACCCAATATTTTGCAAAGCATTTAGGTGAATGAAGTTTCTCAAATCATTTTCCTTTGCTGAACAAAGAGCATTCAAACAGATTCTTGATGCCTCTGCCATTCAAGCTAGGGAACGCCCATCTCACAGGGAAGATTCTATCACTATATAAGATTCCTGCAAAAATTGACTATCACTAGAACAAAAATAAGATGTTAAAAACCCTTTATTCAAACCATCTGTGTATCAATACCTTGTATCTTGCTTTTATTTAAAGGCAGCTCTCCACCCTATCAAGAGTACGGACTTCCCAAAGCACAATAAGCTAGCAATCTGAATTTTCTTTCTCAAACACAAGCTGTATGCCTTCATCACACTTTGTTTTAACTACATAAGCAGCCTACCAAGCCTGCACAAAAGCCAATATCAGCACAATAAATCAAAATGAAAAAGATGTTAAGTAAATCAATTTCCCCAACGCTGCACATTTTAGTCTACTCAATGGATAAAGACAAAAACAACAAAACAATATGAATGATTAACAGATTGATGCAAAATAAAAGCAAAATAAAAAAGGTCCGAGTCAACCTGCATAAGAAAAGATGTGCGAAATGGTCCTTGCTACCCTTTTAGCCCTGGAGGATTGCATGTGCTCTGTGGTGTGTATTTCAAGCTGTTTCTTCCCCTTACAGTCATCACCTGTTGATTGTGGTAACAGATGATTAATGGGACAAAGCCAGGATCAAATCAAGAATGTTACAAGACAACGTGAACAAGTCTACTTCACATTAGCAGTTACCAAGCCAAAAAACATCAAGCAAATTCCAGCAGGCTAAAACTTGTCTGGGGCAAGGGTACAGAATGGGAATCACTTTTCTGCCCTCTGCATTTAAGCTAGATAATAAGCATTTACTCTCAAGCTTCCACAGAGGCACGAAGCACAAACTGCTACCATAGCAACAACACGGCGCACAGCCCAAGGCTGAAGGCAACAGAAGTGGTTATACTTACATATTGATTCCTCACTGACACCAAAGCGGCTGTCCTCTCTGTAAAACTCCTTTATATTCATGCTTCCACAGTAATCTGAGTGAGCTGCAATATATCCAGAAAGGATAAATTGAACATAATTCTCAACCTCAAAGCCTTTCCTATCACCGGATTTTGATCAAACTCACTTGGATTGCTATTAGAAGCCAGGTTACCTGAAGGAAACCTGAACAGTGACCCTGAAAGAAGCCTACCTCGTGTAATCCTGCTTTTTTTCTTCTTTAAATAGAAAAGGGCATTTTTGTTTAAAAAAAAAGTTCTCTTTTCAGATAGTAAAGTTAGTTTAAAAAAAATCCTAAGTAACAATCCCTGAATTCCTATTCCTGTCAGCCTGTCACTGAGCCACATCCTTGTGTTGTCCCCAACAGAAACATTAAGTAACTGACAAAAGAGCACTTATGAGTTATAAAGCACTAAGGTAGAAAGGAACAGATTGGACATCAAAAAAGTTTCGTACAATCACAAAAACTCAATTACTTTCTGCTTACAGCATTTAGTTTCACTCAGAGCATATGATGCAGAAGGAAAAACGAAGAGGAATTGAAGTTTGTCAAGGGAAACAAGATGTGCAGAGCAACAACTGCACTTTCAGCTTTGCAAGACAGATATAACAAAGCTCTGAGTATGCAGTGGACTGAAGGGCAAGAAGAAAAAAGTTCAGAATTGACGCTGTGACACAGAACAGCTCTGAAAAGCAACTTCTGCCTTTTCCTAGTTAAAAAAAAAAAAAAAAAGGAAATCAACACATGGATCTTAACTGTAACAAAGATGTTTCTCACGTACCTGGATTTTGGTATTTTGAAAACAGAAGAAAAATATGCAAAGTGTAGCACAAGTGAGAGAATTAAAAAATAATAAAAGATAGGAAAATAGGAGCCAGCCAGGATATAGATAAACATCATAGTGCCATAGAAGTCCAGAAGAAAGACAAAGAACAAAAAACACACACTGATTTTGTGTGGAAACTGAGAAAGACAACTGAAAAGGTACCTTTAGATTCATAACTCTGCTTCAGCAAAACCATTTGAAATAGTTGCACTAATAGTGATGCAAGAGATGCTGCAGTATGTTTGACCAATCGCAGAATCTTACTGACGTAGAAATAGGTGCCTCCTATTGGAAAAGAAGTGTGAACACAAATTATTTACCTGCAAAGAGGTGCACCTCTACTCGCCAGTGAGCATTAGCTTGCAGAAAAGTGAGAACTAAGCATCAAAATCTTCAGGTTAGCCAGGAGTACGAAAGTTCAGCAAGCACGAATCGAGAAGTCCAGATGCATTAGGAATTACAGGCCAATGTTTTTGCATGGACTATGCAACCTGCAGGAAATGCCAAGGTATCTGCCTTGAAGGCAAGAGTACCTTCTTAGTGAGAATTAAAAACTCCAACAAATAGCAACAAAATCCTTCCTTACTTAACTAAAGTTTTCTGATACTGATCTTGTGATGCCAAAACTCCAAACAATTCTGGTTTGAAAGGGAGATAACTTGTCATCTTCTCCTCCCCTTTACACTGGAATAAGAAAGATACTGCAGTGGTCTGCCTCAAGTGCTTTAGAGATGCTTCTCCTTTAGAGCAGCAGGGATGAAGCTTTCCATGCTGCTGCTTTCTTAGAAAAAGCCACACTTCAGAAGCCTGCCATGATTTTGGGCTCCTCGCTCCCAGCACTCATTTAACCCAAACATCAGATTCAAATTCAGGAGAACATATGAAGATGAGCTCATTTTTAAGATTCTCCTTGGTGAATACAAACTCTGGAAAACAGAACAGCTTTTATACAGTGTTGCTAAGCAGCTCATTATGTCGAGACAACAGAATTCCTACCTATGCCACACAATTTCCAAAAAGGAAAACTTGCCTTAAGTATTTAAAGTTGCACCATGCAGTCCAAAATCCAAAGACTTACAGCTAACTGGAAATATACATCATTAAAGAATAACACATCTACAGAGTCCTTCGTTTTTTTTTTTCCCTTCAATTTCAGGCCACTAAAGAAACACCTGAGTAGTGATTAGTGAGGACCACCAAGCATCAAGAAGCTCAGGGTGCAATGCGAGAGGCAGGCAGACACCAAGACATGAGGCCAACTCTGCAGAGAACAGATTGCCTTGGAAAGGCAGAACATTCACTGGAGATTCAGTTCCATGCTTCAGGAACGTAGGCACTACAAGTCAACTTGAAAACAGTTCTGCCCTTTGGAGTTCAGTTCTTGTAGTGGTTGAGGTTCAGCTCCTAAATAAACACTGGAAGGTTACGTGAGAAGAAAGAGTTCTTTCTCAGAAATTCCCTGGGCAATAGAGGCACTGCTGAAATAATGGTTCTGCTTCATCTTGAAAATTCAAATCACATCAGAAATTGGGACCGCATTGAAAAAGTTCCTATGTGAAAATCCATGGAGAGACAAATGTAGGTCCAATAACAGATCAAGAGATGCCTGAACACCTGTGCTGGATGAACAGCCCATTGTGCTCTGTGTCAGTTTGATCATGTAATCTATTAGGATACGAGAGGTTCATCCGACACGTAGAAGGTAAAAGAATCACAAGAATTTCGTTATTAATAGATATAACAGGGTAGGAGCAGTACTTAATTAGCACTATGCAAAAACGTATCAACTAAGCCACATACTGTTCTACTACTCAGGGAAAGCACAAGAGAAAGTTACTTACTAGATGCATGTTTCTGGCTCCTGTCCCTGGAATAAATCCTGGAAGATGGCCCAGGAGCAGCAGAGTACGCTGTAAGAACCTCCTTTCGTTCAGACAGCATGCTGCAGTCACTGCACGTGTAGCCATTTATCATTGTAGTCTGCGTTTCTGCTGTTGCTATATCACCATTTCTCTGCAGGAGCGTGGCATCACTACCTAGGGAACCAGGAGCAGGACATTCAGTGCAAGAATTATTAAGGTCATTAGTCACCATTAAACAGAACTCTTAGAGAAGCAAAAGAAAGGCGTAGTTACCTTTAGGGTCACCATCATCATCAAGACCTTCAAAGAAGAAAGAAAAAAAATTTGTTCACAAAGATAAGAAAAGCCCCATGAGCAACTATGATGTGTGATGTGAACTCAAAGCTGGGGTCCTGCTAACTTTATGACTGCAAAGAAAAGTCAGTTGAAGATCTAACATTTTTCAGTCCATTACAGGAGAAGATTCATATATCCTATCATAACAGGATATGAGAAGTGTCCTGTCACAGAAGCAGTCAAGTATGGATGACAATTACACTTTCTCTTACCTCCCATTTCACTTCAAAGCAGCTAATCACAAACTTACACTGTTTTTCTTGCTTAGTAACTACTTTTCAATCTGGATCTATAAAATACAGTGCTACCACAGACAAGTAACCCAAATCTTACCATGCTTTCTACTAAAATTGAAACAATTCTTTGCGTTCTCACTCTGGGACAGTCACAGACGCACAGACTGGAAACAAGCAGTCTGAACTGGGTGCTACAGTAAGTTGCTGATCTCCTACACAACACTTTATGAAGGCGACTCTCGCATTTTCTCTTCAGATTAAGAGGCTGACTCCAGAAGAGGATGCTTGTTCACACTTAGGAAAAACTATTAATCAATCATACACAAAAACCCCCAGGAAATCTTTGAGGCATCACCAACTTCAAACTTTCAGGTTAAGGCACTTTACATTCCAACACATTTCCACCTGTAACAAACAAATATGCTTTTCCGTTGGCTTTTCAAGAGAAACTTCATGAACTTACACGTTTATTCTACCAACACTTTGAAACAATAAAGACACAAGTTCACCAACGTTCACACAATGGAGTGTGAATTTCCAGCAGGCATCTCAGCAAAGCAGACACCTACATAAAAGTAGAAGTACACACAGGGGGCATGATGGGAAAATGGGTGAGCAAGAGAGGGAAGATGTGAAAACGTTCACACACGACCTGTAAGCAGCTTTGACAGTCTGATATGACCAATAGCATCCACGACCTACCCCAGAAATGATCAACTTCTGTCTGCTCTCGAATCGAAGACTCATCCAGCACAGTGGACACCATCGACGTATCGCTGGCACGGCTGAGGAAGCTGCTTTGGTTAAAAATGGGAGAGCTGGACAGATGTTTCCTTGGCATGTCTTTCACACTGCCAGACTGCTTATTTATGCTTTTGCGCTGCTTCACCATGCTAGAAAACAAAGCAATGAGAAAACAAGAAGAGCACTAACAGATACAAGTTTCTGTTTTTCACTTATGAAAGAATTTAATAAAAAGACAAGCTTTTTCAGCACTGATGTAACTGGGCAGCCACAATCAGGTTTTAGAGAAAATTCTTACTTCTGTGCTCCTCCAGTTTTACAAAGAATTCATTGTGAACCATACACTCTAAATTTATGATATTAAACTGAGAACAAGAAATGAAACAGCAAGTAATCCATTCCTGCTTTATCGTGTTCAGACAGGAATTCTCAAGACTGCAACCAAGAAATTAACTTGTGAGGACAGAAAATGCTTACTTAGAAGACTGCTCCCTGAAAGTGATGCTCCCGGAGTAAGAGCTGTCATGGAGGATATCATTTCGGGCACTGTCTGGTTTATTAACTCCTGCAGCAGCTAACCGCAAACTACGCCGTGACATCCTTGGTGAATCAAACACTGGATCTATTTTGTGTTCAATCTCAAAATCCAAAGCATCTGAAGAATAACTTGAACTAAAACAAAATAAGAACAGAAAAGTTAGAATTCAAGAGAAAATCCCCCTAGAAATGAGCATGCCCTCCAAGCTAGACTAAGCTCCAATTAAAAGCAATTTATCTGGGGTTACGAAGCAAGTTCCACAGGACATGCAATATTACCCAGATAACAGGAGCACAAAGAGCAATTTCTATTACAGGTTTAACAAACAGAAAGCAAACCACAAGAAAGAAACAAATACCATGGAAACCACACCTGCAGCTGAGGCAGAGCAGGCATTGTGAGCCTCAGACACGGCACTTTTAGCACCAATCTAAGAGACGAAACCATTTATGACACAAAGCTGCTTTCCCATGCCTCGCTGCAAATAAAAAAAATCATGATGCATTCGATGTCACAAGGTGACACTTAATTCTCCTTTGTGTTTTTTTTATTCAATTTTTTGCTTGCTGTTTTATCCCACAGAGGCAAATACATACGTAAGTAAGCTTCATTCCAGTATGCCAGAAATCAAATCCACATGCGCACACTCGATTCTTTCAGAAGCTTCATAAGAACTCACAATGAAGACAGAGCATGCAACAGCAGAGCAAGGCAAATACAGATTAAGCAGAAGAATCAATAAGACATGCATTTATTAAGACAGAAGTTTAGCCTAGAGCAGAATACTTGTTCTTGCAATGAAAGGAAACATTCAGTTATGCAATGGAGCAGAGCTTGTCATTACAGGACGCCGTGCAGCAGCAGCTCAGGTCCTACAGCATGGTGAACCAAAGCATCCCAACACAACTGCTCTAGGCCAGCATTCCATTGGAGTCTTCTCAGGGATACACAGAGCTGGAACAGCAGTTACTCGAATGCTCTGGGAGTTGGGTGCCCTTTTATCTCCCCACCCATCTTTTTTTTTTTTTTTTTTTAAATCTCTCTCAAAAACAAAAGGAAGAGAAAAGAAAACTGAGAAGGTATGAAGTGTTACCTATAGAGGCTCCTGCCCCCAAGAGCCCCTGGAATAAGCAAATAAAGTAGAGCTCAATAGATGCTATTGTGCAGTCTGAATTTGAAATGGATGCTCTCCAGAATACAAAAGCTGCTGCAACAAGTATTATTGCAAAAACAATCTTCTGAATGCAAAAACTTTTCTCACAGCGTGTGAAAACCCCAGAACATCACAAAGTAATCACGTGATATGTAATGTATTACTCTAGCATGCAAACAAGTTAACATGGGCAGTCCCAGCAGCAGCACCCCAAGCAGTGACGTAGCTCTGACAGGTGGGTGCTTCTGAAACGAGTTTCTGACTTGCATGTAGGATACAACAGAGTTGGAGCACACAAATGGGAAGTTCCACCTAAAAAGCCTAATCCAGCCAGCACACTGCAGGCAAACAGCTGGGTGCTCCAGCAGCAGGCAGGCATTCGGCCCACAGGACCAGACTGGTCTGTCTGAAATAACTCCTATTGCCCAGAGGTACTCAGATCTGGCAGCAGGCCTGTGGCACCACCTGTTCCATCTCACTGATCTGCCCTGCCAGTGCTGCCCATACAGAGCAGAACCTTGGGCAAGGCAGGAGCCTCAAACACTGCTTCACATAAACCCAGCATGCTTTAGTGCATGAGCTGTGATCAGTCCTTCTCTGTATTTGGGCTAAGGGAAAACTGAAAAAGCCAGGAGCTTCCAAGTATCAACTACATCTGTTTTCACACAAGGAAAGGCACAGAGTAACAATTCATACAGTGATTTCAAAAACAATAAATGTAGGCTTGTGTTCTGACAGAGGTGAAGTGAGAAGACAGGTCAAATGTGACTCTTCCTGCTGTCCATTCTGAAATCATCAGAGTCTCAATAGTTCACAGTTGGGTCCCTCCCTACCACTTGTTTCAGAACTCATTTTGCTATTTACACTTGCCACTGTGCATTTGCTTATCCTCATCTGCCCCCAGCACTTCTTACAGACACTCAATTCACAAGAATACAAAGTACACAGGGCAAGCTGACAGCTGTAACCAGCTCATTTGTTTCTGTTTGCGAACACTTGTTGGTACTGGGTATCTCAATGAGCACTGGTAACTGTTTGGGTTGAATACCCAGCTTGGAGTTGGCCCCACCACCTTTAACAAAAACCTGACAACAGAAAATCATTATATCTTTCCCCCTAGGCTAACAAGAGAGCTTCTCCCATTTATGCAAGAAAATAACCCTCTTCATATTGAAAGAAAGTCTCCAAAGGCAGGACAGAATGGAGATCTCCCTTAATTTCCCACCTCAGTTTCAAGTTTTGGAAAGCTAGATCTTTTCCTTCCATAGAAGAAACTAAATTTACAAATTGACAAGAAAAAAACAACCAGGCCATTCTTTCAAAGGACAGAAATGAACCTACACGTTGATATTATTCCCACCAAATGCATAAGACTAGCCAAACAACTTACTGAAGGCAGGATGCAATTAGCCTGTGCTCCTAGGTAACATGTAACAGTGCGGGTGGGCTCCTTCCTCCCGACAGCTCCCCTGGCTGCTGGCACACCTCTGCCCTCAGCAGCCTCACATCTACTCCCAGCTGTGCCCTTGGTACCTCCTTCACATGAGCTCCTAGAAGATACCCACTCCAGTGATTAATTCCAAGTTATAACTTGGTAAGCAGAATGAAAATGATGCCTGTCAGTTTTAGCACACATCACCTTTTTTCTAGAGGGCATGAAATGTAATTTATTTTATAAGTACTCTTTGGAAAGAAGTGGGCAGTAAGGTTCATGATTACTTAAGATTGTGACAGAAGAATGCAGTGCACCTAGGAGATGCAGAACCAAACAGACATCATGTGCATACAGACAGTATGTGACGTCCATTTGCTGTGTGAGGAGAGCATCACTTACATTAACTGATGGACACCACCTCGAGCTGTAGTCATGGCTTTGGTCAGTCCCAGAACGTGTGTAAAAAAATACAGATAGTCTTCCATTGATCCACTTTTACAAAGAGATGTACGTGATGTAGTGCAGTGACCCAAAAGTTAAGCCAAAATCTCATTATGTTTGGAAAGAGAAAAGTGCTAAGAGTACCTGAGAGGTACAAAAAGGGCATCCCTGAAGGTGGGTGACTACAAGGAGAGAGCAGCTCAAGGGGTGGGGAGGAAATTATGTGTTGACAGGTGAGTGAGACTCACAGGTCTGGCCTGCAGCTTGTGGAGGATAAAAGTTATTTAGTTACTTCAGCTCAGTGCTTTTCAGATTTGAGTTGGAAGATTAAAAGCACAAAGCAGAACCGCTACAGTTATGAATTCAGAGCAACCACTGGGAGTATTAATAGAAATCCTTTTAATAGCTCATAGCCAACTCTATTAATAGCTCTGTGCTATCTAACTTCAATGAACTTTCCTGCAAAGCTGCACACACAAGCAAGTTCCTTTAGAGAAATTCCCAGATTCTGTAAAGATCCAATTGCCGAAAGCAGAACGAGTGTTATCAGGTATAAAGTGAAGCCAATGTGGGCCAGTGGGCAGGGGAGGAGGAGCTTCAGCATGGAAACACTTGGGATTATCAGCTCTGCTGAAATCAACCTCACTTGAGATTATTCAAATACTAACAGACCCAAAGAACGAGAGGAGAAGCACAAAGCGAGACTGCAGCTCACCTATGGACCCTGAAAGCAGGCTCTGCACCAGGCAGTTTCCCCCATTACTTCACTTTTTGAACATCACACCATTTTCCATGAGGAAGTTTAGAGAGCACTGTCTGATCTTTCCTTTCTATTTAAGGAAAAGTTACAATGATGGAATTAATTTCAGACTAACCATCTGCCTTCATTAAGCCCACTTTTAAGAGTCAGCTTAGGCAGCCCTAACATGTAACGCAGTGAAACACCATGTCAGCACGCTCCAGTAGATGCAACTCTCCCCTTCCACAAAAACTTCTCTGCGATTCCTCAGTTTTGCAACACGACCATCCTTGTTCATGTAGGAAGCCAAACACTCCAGTTACCTTCTGCACAAGAACTACCATCAAATTAAACTGCGCTCCAGATTTCTAGCAGCACTTGCTCTGCACACTCCCTTCCTGGCAGCCAGCCACGCTCACACGGTATCCCTGCTTGCCTGGGAGAGAAACAAACTCCTATCTGACAGCGGGCAAGAACAGCAATGCAGCTCAGCCTGGTTCCAACCCATGATAGTCTGAGCACACTATTGAGCTTCACTTCTGTAATATTCTTTGCAAGACACAAAAAAAAGGCCCAGAGCTAACAATCTTCATTTCTTAAGGTAATACTGACTTCTATTTTTTCCCCTCCTCTGCAAGACAAAAAAATAGTTGGAGAAGCTTGCACAGTTAGAAATAGTAGTATTGTTTCAGACAAATATAAAACTCAGGGAAAGAAATCAAATTAGACAATTCTGCAGCTCTTTTTAACGAAGATACACCGTGAGACATCAAACCAAACAAACTGCCTAAACCTCCTGAAGAATCAGGGCATCTCCTGCTGTCCTGCACGCTCTTTCCTGATGCTGGAAAGCACACCTGTATTAAGCAACATTGCACCCAGTGCTTTCTTAAGACCTGAGGAACAGCTGCAATTGCTTTTAATGGGTAAAACAGTCATGCATTCAGTTTTGCAAAAATTGCTGACATCAGCGTATAGATAAGAAAATGAACCCCAACCCAGTCCTCAAAACTACAAAGCTACTCAACTTCAGAGTACACAAAAGGAAGAATTACTATTAATTGGTCATCGCACGGTTCTGCCAATTTCTGGTTTGTAGGCAAGCAGCCAAGCGTTCTCCAAACAAAACACTGAGTTAACACACACCAAATACACAGCCATGATATACAGGCACAGAAGAAACAAATCTCACTCCATCTTAATGAGCAATCATTTTTTTAAAGCTGAAATTAAGCCAAGCAGTCACTCAGACCCGTTCATGCATACTGGCTTCAAAATGCATTTATTAACTCAACAGGAAAAACGAGATGGATTTAATCCACAGCCAATCTGCTCTGTTAGCATTCAAAAACTCCAACGGGCACCACAACAACTGTCTGCACTGCACTGGAAACAGCAACGACTGCAGAGTTCTGGGTGGAGTTTCTTTTTTTAGAAAACTGAAATGATTTCAGTACAATCTAATGGTCAGTTTAATTAAAAAAGTACAAGAAAAGTTGATTAGAAGACGTTTTTATATTTACAGAACAGGTAGTTTTGATTTTAAAGTGATCAATATGTGACTTCTAGCAACAATAAGGACGTACAAACAACATTAAAGATCTAACAAACATGGAAGAATTTGGTGACATTCTGAGAGAAAACAGAAAGTGTAACTAGGTGGGGAATCATCTACCCATAGCAACTAATAAACACTGAGTCATTGCCTCCATCACTGTCCCATCAGTTCAGCACATACACCCTCCTGCACTGAGGACACATTTCAGAACAGACCCACTCAAGCACGTCTCTGCAGAGAGGCTCTCTACTTACCACGAAAGCTATTCCAGAATTAACAACATTCAGAGAACATACAGTTTCTCTATAAGAAGAAAAAAGTTCTCACCTGAGTGCATATGTATAGCCAGTGTTCTCTGGCACACACTGGGGAGGAGTGTACGTATGTAGACGTGAAAAGTCCATGGTGACAGTTTCAAATCATACTGTAAAAGGTGAAAATAAAGCAATGCAATGACTTACAGTTGTATAAAGCCAATATAGGAGCCCTTGTGTTATTCAGCCTGTGCTTCCAAGTACTGAAATAATTCAAGTGACTGATACCAAAATACGGAGCTCTCAGTGTTCCAGCACACAGCTGCCAGAGCTGCACAGCCCTTATCAGCCCCGCACGGAGCTCAGCTTACTTCCGACTGCAGGCCGGGGGCTTTGCTGGTGGGTTTTTAATGATAGCCTCCTTCAAGTCATTTCCGAGTTCTCTGGAACCGTGCAGTAACATGAGGCAAGGCTTTTATCACAGCAAAGCTGCACCACTTCCATGTGAACTCACCATACTACCAGGCCCAGCAGCTCAGCAGCCAGATGTTGGCCCCTCCTCGCTGTGCTTTCAGGTCTCTTCACAGAGCTCTGCTTCAAAAGGCCACTGAGCACAGCACAGCTGCATTACGCACCAACAAAGCTCAGTACATGAAACTTGAGACAAGTTTTTACATATATTCAAATCCTTTTACCCTCTGAATGCCACTTGCCAGCAGCAAGGAGGCTTCACGTGTTTCACATTGACTTGTTATATTTGTTAACAGTTAACTTGCTGCAGTAATAGAAACACTGGGTACACACCCTTACAGAAGAGCCAACTGCAAAATGACTCACATTGCTAGAACTGTCCTCAGTGCCAACAGGCAAAGAAAAAAAACGCAGTGCCCCCAAACAAAACAAAAACACAAACAGAAAACCCTCTACAAAATCTTCAAAAGGCATCAGAGTTTCAGGAAGGAAAAACCTGATGGTGCTGCATCGAGGAACTCGTGTGACTATTTGTAGTATTATGTAAACTGACCTTTAATTTCAAAATATTTGCAAAACAAAACAAAAATCCTTGAGACTCTCAGTACCCAATTTGCCATGAGAAAAATGTTGGTTTCCTAGAAGAGGTTCTTCGATAATAGGTTACTCATGGTTAACAACAGAGGTCTGCCTGCTCTGGATGAGCATGGTTAGCAGAGCAGAATCCTGGCTATTTCCAGCTCATCGATGGCTTCTGTTTCAGCAACAGGAAAGGATATTCCACACAACTGCACTGACGTGCCTAACTAAAATATACGTGTCCCTGGCTACGTTTTAATTCTTGTAAACAAAATATCAACAGGCATCTCACATTAGGGATGCTGTCTGTGATTCTGAAGGAGTCTTTAGTTGTACAGTTACCTAAAAAAGCATAGAAAAATAAAGGTGACAAGCACAGGGAGTCCCAGGCACTGCTAATGCCAGTTCAAAAGGGAACCTCCGCATGTCTCACTGAAATCCTTTACCACTCCCTCTGCAGCCTCCAAATCCCGATGGCAATGAAGCAGGAGGACATTTCCTTTGCTGCTGACAGCTGAACTTCCTGCTTGTTTCTAAATCACAACTTACAGACTTAAATGCTGCAGCTTCCTCCCATGCATCTGAGGGGTTACTGAGGAGAAAGGTCTCTCTTCTGCTCTTCACACACTTGTTTTTGGAGATTTCAAAGATGACATTTCCCTTAAATGATCTTTCCCTCACTTGTTCCAAACTTGTTCCTTATTTAGTGGAAGCTTAAACCAATAGTGAAGTATGGGCAAGGCAGTCTGAGTGTGCTAGAATAAGCACAGAATAGTGCTACAGCAAACAACTGCTGCCATGCCTTAACAACAAACAGCCCTCCTTTGAGACCATAGAAAAATGGAGACCAAAGAGCAACAACTCCCCCAGCAGTGAAAGCGGAAACGCAGTGAATTTCAAAATGATGAAACTTCAGAACTATGACAATGGCTGATCTAAATTGGGGCAGCACCCCTGTTCAGTTTGCACTGACATCCTCAGCTTTTAACTGGCAGCTCAGCACCCGTTATGTCATGCTGCTGACATCCAGCAGTGTTTTCCCACACAGCCCCAATACTTCCACACCTCCCCAGCTCCTCCTGCTGCTCACGTGGACGGGGCAGAGGCAGACTTTGAAAAACAACACACTGGCTCAGGCTTCTCCTGTTCTTTTCTCCCTCTCCAAAAGCTCACTCGTTACTTGGAATTAAGTGGTAGAACCTGAACTCCCTATTTGATAAAGCCTGAAACACAACATTGAGCTCTGTAAAATGCATACATGACAGTGGCACTGCTAAATGAAAAACTGTGACTATACTCATACTGGCTCTAGCAACAGCTGGTTTTCATAGCACCAAGATCTCCAGCACAAGAGTTCACCACCCCACAGCCAGAGACCCCTCTTACAAGATTCAGCAATTTTATCTCATTCTCTGTTTTTCTGATTCTCTAAAATTAACTCATACTGAGAAGGAAAAACATTTACTTATTTTCAAAGAGATGGAGCTGCCTTAACTGCCTTAAATACAACTCAAGAATAATCTTCTCAGGGATAACCACCACAGTTTTTAAAAACAGGTACTTCAAATTTACTATGAATCTGGATTTATATACTTTTTTTAAATCTGGCTGCCAGGTTCAGATTGATTTAAGAGAACCCACTTTATTTGGAAGTGTGGTATGTATTACAGCAGAGCTACAGGGCAGAGCAGGTGTGGGTGGAATGCAGTAACCCTCTAATTTGTTCACTTGTGCTTGACAGCACTCCTTTCTTTGTCCAGCCCATTAATTCCTCTTGTTTACAAAACTTTCATATACAACTGGAGCAAAAAAACAGAATTGAATAATTTGGGATTTTAAAGCCATGAGAGCTAGACACAAAATAGAGCTCCAGTTCCAACATCTGGGGGCTCATGAGACTTACAGCTTAGGTCCCCAGGGATTTGTCCAGACTCAGATTCATGTAGGCCTGAGCTCTGTTGTCAGTTTCACCAGGTGCAAACTAAGCATAGCTTTTTCCTTCAGAAAGCCTATAAAACATTCAATTGCCTAAAAATGTACCAACTGAAATGTTTAAGACAAGTTAAAGGCGACTGAAGAGAAGCACAAACTTCACTCAAAACCCAAGCAGAGATTAGACAGCTGTGTCACATCACTGCCATCACTCTTAACTTATAAATGACCTCGAAACTTCTACTGAGGAGACAGCTGGATTGTTTGCTTAGAGAAGCAGATGACAACAATCATCTCAAGCATCAGCTCCCTCTTGCAACTCAAGCAAATTCTGAGTCGGGCAGAACAGAAGGAAGCCCAGAGACTCCTGTAATCAGTGCTGCAGAATTTACCTTTTAACAAAGTCCTTTGGCTGTTTCCTGGATAATGTGGAATACCAAGTGTCTGAGTGACACAAGGCCACACCACTACTTCATGAGCCTGTTTACCTGATTTGATGATCACTTTCAGAACTAGACAGCCTTAACAAAGCCCCAGAAGCACTGCAGCAAGCTTCCTTGGTTGTATTGCAGACACTGAGATGCTCTGATAGCGGCCTTGAAGCAGAGAAGGGTCAGAAGAGCAGAAGCAGCACCAAATACACACTGAATATACACTACAGGCATGCATAAGGACAAAGATAAGCCCCATCCTCATATGCTTCTTTGAGCATGTGGACAATTCTATCTCAGCACTTCCTCAAGAGCACCTTTGTGACAAAGAAAAAACACCATCTCACAGAGTCAAACCACTCACCAGAAAGTTACTGAGCAGGAGACTTGGTTTCGGTTTTCTAACACCCAGAAAAGCTTTTGTAATTGCTGGAGCACCCTGCAACTGGTAACTGCTGGGCCACAGCAGCGGGCACAAAGGAAGCAAGGCAGCACTTGAGCAATGCTTTAGCAATATCTTTTTTTGGGGGTGGGACAAATACTAACAGTAAAATAAATCAATTGCCTGGAGGTTTTGCAGTGACAACACATTTAAAGCTTTAGAAAGATGTTGATAACAATACTTGACATAGAGCCCACCTAGTGGAGCTTATTTGCTTATGATTTCACATGCTTACAAAGTTAAAGCAACTTGTGGATAAATTATTAACAGCAGTGGAAGCAGAGCATGTCACGTACGGTTCCTGAGAGCAAGCTACTTTTATTTGCAATTTCAAATTTTGTACTACTTGGAATAACCAGTAAGGTTTCTCTTTTCGGTATTAAAGGCAAATTCCTCAGTCAATCGATGCCTCATGGAGCGCTCCGTACTTCCAATCACTACAAGTTCCAACAGGCTGAAGGGCAAAGAGCTCCGTGCTACAGCAGGACTCGATTAAAAACAAACAACCGGCGTCATTTTGACACAAAACACAACAACACGGCCATCAAACCGACGCTCCCAGCCGGAAGTTACGCGGAGCTCCGCGGCCGGCCGCCTCACAGGCGGTCAGCGCTCCGCACGGCGCGGAGCTCCGCGTTGCCGCGCGGTGCTGAGAGGAGCAGCGCCGCAGGAACCGCCGCGGAGGAGCGGCCGCACGGCGCTGTGCGCGGGGATCCCGCCGCGTGCCCGCGCAGCGCAAAATGGCCGCCGGCCCACGGCGCCGCAGGGCCGCCCGGCGCAACGCAGCACGGCTCGGAGCCAGCGGCCGCCCCACGGGCTGTTGCCGTCAGCTCCCGCGCGGGGCTGCGGGGAAAGCACTCTTTTTCAAGCTCGTGCAACGCGGTCCTCGTGTTTATCGAGCTGAGCTAACGAAAGGCACGCGGTACCGAGCGCCCGCATCCCCATAAAGCGACTCCAAGCAACTCTCTACCAGAAAAAAAAGGGGAAAAAGGAATCCGGCACTCTGATCGTGCATGATGCACCCATCTCCCGGCCCGCAGCTGGCACCGCGGGTCCGAGCCACATGTGCCGACATGTGGAGCTGGGAGGAGCGACAGGCGGCCCCCAGCACCTGCAGGGCTGACATGGACAGATAACAGCCCTGAGAGCAAGGCAGGAAATCAGGTGTTCATTTCTATGCTCACCAGAGCGCTGAGCTCAACCAGCGGGCTGCTAAGCTGTAAGACAAGTTTTTAAAAACAAGAAAAATAAGTAAAATAAAGGTGTTTTTTTTTTTTAAATTGTCAGATGTTAATCTGACAACCAGACAGTGAGATAAAAGAGATTGCGAGCATCCAAACCAGCATCAGCCCTGCAGTCTGCTGGTGAAGATTCTCCTTTTCTGTAACATGTGACAGACAGCGTTGCTTTTCAATGAAGAGCAAACATGCACCAAGGCCAACCAAGCGCTTCTTCCCCTTATCAGACATAAAGCTTCACGAGCTCACTCCAGAACAGGCACTGCCTCCAAACAGCTCCGTGCCTCACCGCACTTCTGCTCCTCTGCTACAGGGGGGGACCAAAGCTGAGCACCACAGAGAGCACAGCCCTGTGCCCCACAGCCCAGACACTGTGGAAATGATGTTACAGTATCACAGAATGGGCTGGGTTGGAAGGGACCTCAAGGATCATGAATCTACAACCACAGGCAGGGCCACCAACCTCCACATTTAATACCAGCCCAGGCTGCCCAAGGCCCCATCCAACCTGGTCTTGAACACCTCCAGGGACGGACTGGGCATCTACAGCCTCCCTGGGCAGCAGTTCCAGCACCTCACCACTCTCTCTGTCAAGAACTTCCCCCTGACATCCAACCTAAATCTCCCTTCCCTCAACTTCAAACCATTTCCCCTTGTCCTGCAGTTATCAACCGTTTCTAAGAGTTGATTCCTCTCCTGTTTGTAGGCTCCCTTTAGGTACTGAAGGCTGCAACGAGGTCACCCTGCAGCCTTCTTTTCTCCGGGCTGAACAAGCCCAGCTTCCTCAGCCTGTCTTCGTAGGGGAGGTGCTGCAGCCCCCGATCATCTTCCTGGCATCTCTGTTGTCGTGTAGCACGGGCAGGCAGCGCTGCATGCAGGGCTAATGCCTTTAATAACACAGAAGCCCGAGGGGCACAGAAGGCGCGCTCGGTGCCCCACAGCTCCTCGGCCGCGCGCTGAGCCAACACCGAGAATTCCTCGGAAGCAGGGGGTGAAGCTATTGCAGCACTCATGACAAGAAAATCTCCAACAACCGGGCCGAGCGGAACGCGGGCGGCCACGGCGCGCATCTCATCCGCCCGCCGTTCCGGCCTCAGCAGCGCGGATTCAAACAGCTCCGAGCGCCAAAGAGGCCCAACGTCCGTCGGTGCCTCACAGCCGTCCGCCTCGCGCCCCGCCAGAACCGCGCAACGCATGGGGCCGCCCCGAAGCGGATAAACGCGGCGCGGGGCCGGACAGAGCCACGGCGAGCTCCGCGAGGAAACCGGCGAGAGAAAGGGGAGCCGCCCACCCACCGCCGCGGAAGGCCCCGTCCCGCGGGCAGAGCAGGGCCGGGCCAGGCGGCTCCGCCTCGTGGCAGAAGCTCCGCCGGGAGCCCGCGGGGACGCGAGGCGGGGTGCCGCCGCCGGGGTGGTCGTTACCTGGCGCCAGCGGAGCGGAGGAAAGGCCGAGCCCGAGGCGGCACAGATTGCCCTCGCTTCGCCCCGCCCGCCTTGCCGAGGCCGCCGGGAGCCCCGCCCCGCGCCGTTCCGCCCCGCGCCTCCGACGGCCCCGCCCCCCCGGGATCACCGCCCCCGCGTCGCCCGCCCCGGCCGCCCCGCGCCGCGGAATGGAGCCTCGAGTGGCCCGGGGTGGGAATCGCCGCCGCCCGCGTCTCTGGAACAGCCGCGCGCTTTGCCGGTACTGCTGCGCCTCTCCCACGCAGCCGCTTTGGGATTCCTCCCCACCTACCCCTGCCCGCGCAGCACCGCTGCTCGGCGACCGCCGGGCACCTGGGCTAAAGCAAACCGCAGAAGGCACGGCGTAGAACGAGCCCCACGATGTTCTCGTGTTTGGAAAATGCACGCAAACAAGTTCAGCTCGCCATCTGCCCCTGTGGCTTTTCCTAAACCTCCCCACACGGCGGTGCCGCGCTCTGAGCGGGGCGGTGCGGGAGCTGCTGCCCGGCCAGCAGCCGCTGCGTGCTGGGGAGGAGCGGCTCGTTCTGCCAGCAAAGAATGGCTCATAACCACGTCCCCGTTAAATAAAGAAAGAGGCTGCGTGTCCTTGTTTGGTACGAAACGGGCGAGAAGCTAGCCTTCAAGACACAGAAATTAACAGGAGGACATTCAAATGAGGTGCCAGCTGGTGTCAGGCAATTGTTGCTTCCTTTAAAAGAGCTGTACTGCAGGGATGTGAGAATTTCGGGGTGCTGTACCAAAGCTGAGCTGAGCCCAGGACACTGGGAAGCTGGCACGTGGTTTGTCAGACACGAAGCCAGGCACTGACCTCAGCGCATGGGTGAAAGCTTTGCAGAAAGGTGAACGGTGCCACTCCTCTGTCCCTTCTCTTGCTGCACTTTGCACTTATTTTTGTGTCTTTGCATTAGAAAACGTTGAAATGCGTAAGGCAGTCAGGACAAAAATCTTCTCTTAGCTCCAATCTCTCTGAAACCCTCTGGCGGTACCAGGCCAGGCCCTCCCAACATCTTTCTCCTCCCGTCCCAGGGGAGTCGCGCTGTGCTCTGGCAGGACGAGGCACGCAGTGCTGCCTGGGCACAAATCCAGCTCTCTGGGCTGCTCCTGCTCGTCCCGGGCAGCTCTTTTTCCCTCGGGAGCAGGCTCAGAGGTTGGAGGACGGCCCAGACTCAGCTTTTTCTCTGCTCCCTGGCTTTGAGGAGAGCCTTTGGCTCTTCAATAGAGAGAGCCAATAGCGTTTGGCTTCTAGAACTTAAGTGAAACTTGATCCAATATTCTAATTTAGTTAAAAGAAGCCGGTATGTATTGGGAGCTAATTATTTCCATATTTCAGAAAAAGACTGCTGTACAGAAAATAAAAATTATTTCATCTTTTCAGCTTCCAACACTCTGAACAAAATATGGGATCAGTTTTATTGGCTGAAGTCTGGAGAAAAATATTCAACATGAATAAAAATAGATCATAGTAAAAATGTTTCAGTTTCAATGCTCTAAAGGACAGTTTGGAATTTAGGGGGAAAAAAAAAAAGCCTTGTCACGTGGCACCAGGTATAGGGAAACCACAACACACGGCCAAAGCAACCCAAGGTCTGCATCTCTCAGTCGCCCTCTCTTCTCACATTCCTGCTTCCCACCCTTCCTGTTCCTCCGTGATTCCCACTCTTGTTCCCAGTGCATTCCTACACTCTCACTCAGCAATCTTATTCTGCTCTGTTCTTGCCCTGCTATCAACCACAAAGCTACAGGTACCCACAGCAATTAAAGCTATGGGCTGGTCGTGATGGAGACTGGTGCAGCAAGGAGTTTCTGGGTGGTAATTCTGGGTACTGGGCATGGACCCTGCTGTGCAGGTTGGAAATGCCGAGGGCACAGGGAGCTCAGCAGCACGGCGGGTCAGTCCTGGCTGCAGGGCATTGCAGCAGTGTGTGGTAGGGATGTGCTGGGCTGAGGGACTCTGTAGAAACATTTTTTATTGTGAGCAAGTGTGGTGATGCTTTTGTCCAAGGTAAGGAGATGAATGCATATGTGCTGTAGTACAAGAACTGGCTGGAAGTATCTGGAAGTCTGATTTCTTGATAATTAAAGTTTCTCACCAGCTTCATTGCACTTTCTGGCTAAACTAGTGAGGGTTTCTTCTTCACATCATCTCTGGTGTCAGCCCAAGGATAGGGATGCTCCATGCAGAGCACTTAGGTTATCAGTTAAGAGGGGGCTGCAAAGCACTTCAATTCAATTTTGCCTACAGATCCTGCCGTGGTCCTGACTTACAGAGGATTTCAGACATTAACAAGAAAAGCCGATTATGTACAAGACAGACTGACAGAGCAGCCGCTCTCCTCTCATCTGGTGCTTCAACCCAGCTACCAAGTTCTTGAGCTTCCCGGGGGGATTGATCTCTCTAAGTGGACACAAGCCTGTTAACTGTCATTTTTGTTGAGCTTCAGCTGCCTAATAGTAAAGACTTTTTGCTTTGTATTTTTCCATCTCTTTAAAGCACAGATAAAGTTTTGCTTGTAGGACTGAGGCAAGGAGCAGCCCATTATGTATCCAACAGGACCACCTCTGACTCTATCTTCTATAGGAAAGCCAGCAGGTGCTCACATTTCCATTGGGTGATCGTAACAGATTCTGCCAATGGAACAGAAATGGAACACTGCTTTTCTCAGTTCTGCAGTGGATTTCCACAGGCCAGGATGTTACTTCGTGTCTGAAGCACTGTGTTTATTTTGACTGCACAAAGGACTTCTCCTATAAGGTAAAGCCCGTGCAATAAGCAATCAGAACTCTAACCTCGACTGTGTAAATCACAGTTCACTCTAATAGCTAGCATAGTAGCAGTGGTGGAAGCCACAGTAGGAGATGCAGACTTTGCTGTTTGTTAATAGCGGCCATTGCACAATGTTCTGCATCATGTTTGTCTGCTCTGTTAAAGTTATAGGTACACTTCAACTGCTTTGTCATCATTTCCACAAAGCTTCCATCCTAACTAAATTTGCCTCTTTAAGTGGCAGACGTGGAAGCACAACCCAGCTCTAAGCAGGGGTTTGGCTTTGGGGAGCACAGCGAGCAGCCCCGTGCATTACTGCGATTAGCCAACACGGTGCACCTCCGGACACCTGCAGGCACACTGCCTGCAATCTGCCTAAAGCTCTTCCGAGGAAATTTGCAGCTTACCAACAAAGACCCACAAGGATGAGAGGTGGATGAAATTTCCTGGATGGATCTGAACATCCTTCACACCCAGCCTCCCCCAGAACTGCTCTCTGCTTTGTTTCTCACACAGTAGAGGTGCACTACTTCGCAGTGCTCTCTTAATGTCTAATCACTGGATTCTACTTAAGGTAGTCAACAAACGTTCAGCAGCCTATACTCAGTCAGACAAATGCACACACTTACCAAAAGTATGTTTTGCTGAGAATCCGAGTCCCAGGACCGTCCACAACAGGTCTTCTATCTTGCAGCCCTTATGTTCGTCACAGGAAGGGCAGGGCTGTCTGCTTATCTATAGAGTCTGAAAGTTTGAGATAACCATTTTGCTCAAGAAAAATTGTCCTTGCTTAAAACTTACGTAATGAATATGATCGCAATAGTGCTTTATATATATAATATGAACCCAAATAAAATCTAACACACGGTAATAGATGAACCAGCAAGACTGAAAAAAAATATCTGTGTTTCAGTTGTGTGGCAACTGCACAGCAAAGGGCTGAATCAGAAAGACTGGAACCAAAGCAACTTAAAAACCAGGCTTCCAACATCATCCATCGGAGAGTTCATCATTATTCTTCATAAAGGGATCTGAGAAATTTAGGTTATATGAGATGAAGTAGGGAAAACTATAACCAAGATTGGCATGTTGTTGAAGTTCTATGCCCAGAATACTATCTAATAAAGGAGCGCAGTGGAGGATATTGAGTTTATCATACATGCATAAACTAAGATCAGCTTCTGTTTAACACGTCTTTAGAAAGGCTATCAGAATACTTTGTTCACACAGCTCTGCTGGCTCTAAAGAAAAAAGCTGTTTTGTTGGGTGTGCGGAGATTTTTGTCTGGGAGGCATCCCACGGTGGACTGTTCTGAAAGATAACAGAACACGTGCAGACAAAAAACACTTCCCAGCCAAGTGAATATATTGAACTTGATGAATACCTCAGCTCTGAATGCTTGTAGTTAGCTTCAGTTTGTCTGTATTTCACTTCACTTAAGATATTCCTTTCTCTCTTCCCTAATCCCACGCTTGAAAGCAGGTTTATAAAGAAGATCACAAGAGTGATCTGCACTGCACATCACTTGTTCTGCAGCTATCCTGTGGCTGCAGACAATGCTGAAGTAGAAGAATCTCAACTTCATCAATGTAGAAACTTAAAAAAAATGTTCCTGTAGCAAAATGTAATTGAGCAGGTGGACTTCCAAGGGAAGTTTATAACAAGAATTGGTTTCTTGTTGCTAAAGCAAGACCGTAGGTTGTGCTGGAAGAGCCTGTTGCTTTGCAGTGCTTTGAAACCCCATTTTTTGAAAAATGAATGCTGAAAAACCTCATAGGGTTCTGCTAGGATAGCCGTGTAGTCTCCTGGACTTTTAATAATTGATTAGACTAAGAAAGCAATTTCACAGAATCATAGAGCAGCTGAGGCTGGGAGGGACCTCTGGAGGGCATGCAATCCACAGCTCTGCTCAGGTGGGGGAGGTGGAACAGGTCGCCCAGGACTGTCTGTAGTCAGGCTCTGAATTTCCCCAAAGGTGGAGACTCCACAACCTTTTCATTCCATGCAATGTTTTCTAGTGATTTTTATTTACTGTACCTTCTGGGAAATTGAGCCAACCCTCCAGCTGCACTGAGCTACATACTGCTGATAGTTGTTAGGCAACTAAAACAGCACTCAGGACAGGAATATAGTTTGGCTATTCATGAAAAGAACACCTTGAAGACCATACATACAATTTAAAACGTGCAGTCTATTCTACAGAAAGGCCAAAGGGCTTTTGGATCATGAAGATCCAGAGATTCCTATACTCTGTATCCTTAGTGGTGTCGTCCCTTCTGATAGCGTCTTCAAAACAGCGCAGTATTTGGCAGAGGAGAAGCCATGAGTTTGCCTGATTTTGCTTGTAGAAGAGGAGTAGGGTCTGCTTTCCCTTTCTATTCTCTCTCAAATGTTTTTTGAGAATGCAGGTAGGTACAAAAACAGTTTGGTTACCAACTGGATCCTAAGTGTGAAAAAACACAATTCGCTCGGAAAGATAAGCAGACAGGAGGGCTTCCCAAGCATAAGGAGCATTGCCAAACCTTGCAAAGCCTATTTTTAGACTTGATACAAAGCCAGGGCATTTGGGAGATAGAAGATAAAAAGCATTTCTGCCTAAAGAACGAGTAATTAAAAAAAAGAGGAACCTGATTTTCCACAACTTTTCTGTGTGTGCAATAAATGGCACACTATCCACAATGACTGGAAGCTCACTTCATTCCATAGCTGAGAACACGAAAACAAACAACCACCAAACACCCCAAACCAAAATCTTATACAGTACAACGCTCTCAAAATCAAAACTACAAAAAATCCAGCACAAAACTTTCACCTAATATTGGAGAATTTCCCTTCTAAGTAGGATGTAAATATTGCTTGCCCTCCAAGGCACTACAGTATCAACATAAAGGTGCAGATACTGTATATTTAATTAATGCAACATAAATACCGATCGTCTAAATGACAAAAAGCACATTTTTTTCCACATCCAACCCTTAATTTAAAAAATGTCAGCTTTATTCTCAGTCACAAAGCATAATACAATGACAATACAGAACACCCCTTTGGTGACACCTACTCAGAATATGTCCCTGTGACTGCAGCATAACGAGCACTCAAAACATCACGAAAATTCTGCTGCATTATGCAACACAAGTTTGGCTGTCTCTATTTCTGGTAAAACAGAGCCTCACCGATGTGACTGCAAAGCCTGAATATCAGCCACAGTCTGAAATACTCCTTGGAAGACCGAATCCTCACTGAACAACATAAATATATTCGACATTAGATTATTACTTTCTAAAATAAATGATCTCCCTCAAATAGAAACGGTGTCAAATTCTTGAAAAATATTCCTCTTTTAAACCTTTTATCTAGAAAGCTTCCAGTGCAAAGAGAATTAAAACATTGTTTTATTGCTAGTAAATACAAAGAACTGCTCACATGGCAAAGAATGTAGTTGTGCCAACCTGAGTTATAAATGAGCTAATACTGAACTTCTAGAGAAAAAAAAATCTATTGCTCAGCCTACCTTGAGCAAATGAAACATGAAAGCAATCCGTATCAACAGATTCCAAATGCAGCTCACTAAGAAGAGCTGCAGAACTGATTCATAAAGCTGGTTCTCTGGTGGTCTGAATGTGATGCAGTAGTTGTTTACAATAGACTGGTGTTCGATGCTTATCTACAGCAACTTCGACTTCTCTCACAAGCAGCTCAGGATATAAAATGCTTCCTTCTTTCAATACTTCTGTAAAACAAAAATATGGTATAAGAATCATTAGTTGCTTTGCGTTTTTCTATCCACGTTCCCTCAAAGTGGCTGCAGCCTAACCTGGGGCTGTTGTGCACGTTGAGCAGTCCTGCTGCCGGCTGCCCTTTCATTTGCTGAGGTTCTGTACATTGACATTGGCATGCTGAACACTGAGTCACACACCAATCAATTCCACAGAATCTGAATAGCAAGCTGGGATTTGGTCACATCCTGCAGTGGATGCATTCATGTCCCGTTTACTGTCTATACAGAGTTGTGATTCATCAGAAATGCTGATATTCCCACCCTGGTGAACGCTAGATGAAACATTACATTCTGCATACAGGTGAAAGGTCTGAGCTCCCCATCACCAAAACCCAAAGGAAAGCTCCCAGTGACACCAGCCCACTCAGAGCAGTCTCTCCTTATCAATACTATTTTCATGCAACACTTGAAAACATTTTTTTTAAAGCATTGTTAAAAATACAAATGACTGAAAGTCTTACCTAGGACTGCATTTTGGGTATCTGGATCTTGGTCATCCAAGTGTATCAACAGCTCTTGGTACAGAAACTCAATGTGACTTTTCATTGCAGATTTCACATCACTGTCCTTCAAGCATTCAAACCAGTCAGTTAAGGTGTGAGCAGCAGCCAGTCGTACATCAGCTGATGCATCGTCCAGACGCTTTAACACCTCTGAAAAGAACACATATGTAACCAAAGGGCACGACCAACAGAAAAGTTATCTTCCCTTTTTGTTTCAAAGCATAAATCTATTTCGTAATCACTGGAATTATTCTCTAGCACTCTACCTAGCTAGCACTGTGCATGTCTATTCATTAATTGCAGAAATAGTGCTTCTGTACTCTGTAAAGCACAGTATTTCTGTAAAAACATTGCATTTTCAGTGAACAGATGCATCACAGACTACTTGAACAAGCAAGATGCAAAGATGTGCTTTGCTGATGGTCTGTTTATACGTCTCACCAAAATAAAGACGTTTGTTGTTAAGATTTCTGCAGTACTGTGTAACAAAACAGCCATTAAGATGCTCAGTTTGGGAAGGGCAGACTTATTTGTTTACATTTCTGAGAACATAAACCCTGTCACATAGCATAGATTGTACTTCTCCTGACTAATTGTTTAGCAGTATAACATCACCCTGGTAGGCACTGCAGAGAACAGCTCTATTTCACAGCACAGCACCGTAGATTTGGAGCTGCTTTTTTTTTTTTTCTTTTTCCTTTCCAAACCAAATCAAGCCAACAAGTCCTGAACAACAACCTGCTATGTATTCAGGTCTATTTATGGCACAGTGACACAGTTTGCTCTTGGCTCTCTGAAACACTGCACGGAGAACAATGCGACCACCATTTATATAATGCATTGCTGCTCTGCTTTCACTATAGTTAGAACATTATTTCATACGGTCTAAAGTAAGAAGCAGTGCAGATGAACCTCTGGTAAGCCTTGCAGACAGTAACACCGACTGAAGTTCCATCTGGTGGTGTGATGCATAACAACATCAAGAACACTTAACAATCAATCAGTTCCACTCGGGAGGGAGGGCATCTGAAAATGACATCAACGTATCTGCAGCACAACACCTCTGTGACAGGAAAGCCTGCAGCTGAAACGCTAACAGAGCAGGGCCTCGCAAGAAGCAGGTGCTGCTGGAGTCATGCTCAGCAACACCCACTGAGGTTCCAGCACTTTGATTCTCTAAAATGCATACCTATACTTCACACACTTCACCAAGTCTCACCTAACAGTTCAGAGCTACGTCTTCAGGACATTAAATGGGCTCTCACAGACAAAACTGTTGCTAACCATATAGTTTTGTACAACTCTTTTTCCAGTTCCTTAATATCTATAGAATTATTTTATGGAATAAGTACCCGAATAGTTAAAATAAACCAGATAAGAGGATATAGAAAGAGCAGCAGAATGTATTTATGGGAATAAAAAAGAAGTCAGCATAAAATCTACCCCTGTTTGGAATTCAAACCGTGTAAAGGCTTTTTTTGCTCTTTACATAGGATTAAAGCCATCACACATCAGTGATATCACACAGACTTGGCATTCCCTAGTCTGTGTTAGTGCTTGCATTGCTAGCAGCCACAGTGAGCCTGCAGGTGAAGCAGACAGCCTGCACAGTGAATGCACCTGTGCTCCACAACGCCCTCAGTGTTACAAACAAAACTACTAGGAAGTCTCAGGGAGAAGCAATTGTAACTGTACAGTACAGACACATCTCCCCCAAGCCCCAACTCTTATACGTACCAGGGTAAGTCTTGCCAAGCTGGATTTCATCAAATTGCCTCCCACAGACTTTTAAAATACCACCAACAATGCGGCAACCCATCAGCCGACTGATCTTAGAGTCCTCGTCCATGGCAGCAATAATCTGGGGCATCAACACATCCTTGACTTTTAAGATCTAGGAGTAATGAGGAAAGCATAGAAGAACAATAGCAGTTCGGTCAGTTTAAAGCACTGTGCTCATTGCTTATGTAAGTTATTATTTGGTCTGACAGATCTTGGCTTGCCTAATTAAAAAAATAAGTAATTATACCTAATATACCTATACCTCCTGAAGTTACACAGCTCCATTTTTGCCTGGCAGTAAGCTTGGGAAATAAAAACCTACCAATGTATCACACCGTTCATGAGCACTCAGTACATATGCATATGAGTTTTCTGAAGCTGATTAAAGCTTTAGACTTACCTGCCTTTTTATTAAAAAAAAAACAAAAACACCACAAAATACAAATCCTGGCAAGACTTTCAATAGTTTGGAGCTGAAGCAATTTATGTACAGTAGATGGTGCTCTTATTCTAAAAGGAAGTTTTAAAATAAAGACCATTTCAGTGTAACACTCTGGCACGATTCCTTATTTGTCTTCCACACGTACATTTTCTGTATGTTGATGCAAAAGGGCACCGACGTCGCCCACCGATAGAGAAAAGCATTTGAACACAACAGCAGCCTCTGATATCTCACATGTGCTTAAGCCCTTTGTTCGATTAAGATCTGTTATTGAGACTGTAAATGTTGAATAACATTTAGCGTGTTCCCAGTGCACCATTTTCAAACACCATTTTTGTGAGCAGCTTCAACCCCCCTGATTCCACCGATCCTCCATCACTATGGCACCTCGCATTTCTTTAAGGACAATCCCTGCCAGCTCTCTGCATCAGTTTCCATAGATACCCCTCAGGTTCCATCTCAGCTCCTCCTGCCCTTTCCAGAAGTCCTTTAGATGATTTTCCCCAACAGCCCCATGGGCTCCAAGGCAACAGACAAGCTGTCACTACCACGTGCCAGCAGCTCCAGTCCCGGCCATGTCAACACTGCACTGATGATGCTCACAATGCTCTGTGTCAGCACTGCTGTTGTGCCAGGACGAAGCCCTGCAGCATTTCGTGGTGGTGAGCAGAACCCAGCACAGAGCAGGCCCTGGCTCTGCCACCAGGCCCCATCATACCCTCACTGCTAATCATTTCACTTGTTACTACTCCATTGCAATTAAATAATTATGAAACCTACGCATCTATTTGAAAACATTACAAACTATAAGGATCTTTTTTTCTTCTTTGCCTTTATTTTGTTTTCCTGTGCAAGATTTCAGAGTACATTTGATGAAAAAGAGAATTTACCTCTTCTGGTGCAAGCATCTGGCAGTGAATAAGGGCCCAAAGGCACGACACAGCTGTGGTGCGGATGGCAGCTGCTGTCCTCCCAGCATGCCACTGCAGATTAGGAGCCAGGATGTCTTTTATCACAATCTCCAGGTAGCTAGGGAACAGCCTGCAGCCAAAAATAAGAAAGCAAAATAAAGGCTCATGAGGAAGTGATAAAGAGACTGACAGGATGCAAAAGAGAATTTTCTGCCATAGAAACACAGGCAGAAAAGGAGAAAAAAAGAATCTGTAAAAAAAAAATAATAAATCTTGTCAACATGATTATAACATATGTGATAAGCCCTTCATAACTTAATTTTTTGAGGTAATATGTAAGCAAATACCAGACATGCACAGAAAGGAGAGGCCAGACTTCCTCCCACTTCAGATGATGCCCACGACTCACTGCTTACCTTCTCTCTGTTTCATTTTCTCTGCCTGCGAGGCTGAGATAATGCTCCACATGAGTGCTGATAGGATTCATTAATATCTGTAAGGCCTTTTGAGACTGCCCAATGAAAACAATTCACAGTGTGAAAAGTATGAATGCCATTGCTGACACCAGAACTGTAACACTGCAGGGAGCACCCCAGATAAGTAGCTTTCCCCTGGTGGAGAAGCCCCATCTGCCTGATCTCTAACTGGACAACAGCGACTCCAGTTGTCCACTTCATCCCCATGCCTCACGCAGCAGCTGGCAGCTGCAAAGCACACAGAGCACAGCACAGTACCTCTCCCTGCTGCTCGACACCTTGTCACAGGAATGCACCTCTACCACCCATTGCACACAGCTGCAGACAGGAGCCCAGCACCCGGCCGCTGCCTGCTCACCGCGGGAAGGAGCAGCGCACGAGGCATCAGGCCGTGCCTCACGCCCAGCAGGTGGCGCATAGGACTCAGTAATAACAACAAATCTGTATCCCGATAAACACACAGAAATTCGCCAAAAACCTTCGATTTACTATTTTAAATACGTTTCTCAGAGTTCATAATTCCCAATTAGAAAATTGGCTAGAAAAAAATATCATTGATGATCACTATCACTCCAAATCTCCTTTTAGTTCCAAGCAGTTCCAGTGCAGAGGTCAGTTCCATCAGCATCACGTTAACCATAACTCTGTGCTGTTTGGGAGAATATTTGTTCTATCACTTTGAAACAGAACTGGGAAAGCAATAGC